TATTTAAATATACAAAAGAATTTTAAAAGAAACAAAATTGAATTGAAAAAAATTCGAAACGTTTTATAGATTTAAATTCATCTATTCATATTTTTTTATAAACAAAATTAAAACAGACAGACAAAAAGAAATATGCAGACATACACACACACACACACACACACACACACACACATATATATATATATATATATATATATATATATATATATATATATATATATATATATATATATATATATATATATATATATATATATATATATATATATATATATATATATATATATATATATAAATATATATATATACATATTATTATATATACATATAATAATATGTATATATATATATATATATATATATATATATATATATATATATATATATATATATATATGTATATATATATACATATGTATATATATATACATATTATTATGTAATAATATGTATGTATATACATATTATTACACTTGATCTCCTTTAAAAAGATATAAAATTGTGCATCTTTCTTTTCTTTAAACTAAGGATGTCTTCATATTATTACTTAATGGTCCTAAGCCCAAATTTTGCAGCATAAATGATGATAATATCAATTCTTATTCAGATTCCGTAAAGTTAATAGCTGAATTTAAGTCAATCACAACTTTTTGAATGGAATTTTTTAAGTTATAAAAATAAAGTTATAAAAAAATAAGCTGTTTCATCTGGTCTTTTTATTTAACATCTGGTCTTATTATTTAACATTAATGGCAGTTTTTTGCCATGTATAGTTTTACATACATTTGAAGAATTTCATTTTTTGTTGGTGATCGTCTGAACAGCATTGCAACTTTTGCTTATCAATGGAGACAAGTTATTTGCTAGTTAATTTGAATTTGGTGAGCTCTGAAAAATCCTTAATCCGTCTAAATCTAATCCGTCTTCTCTTCATTGTGCTTGCCATTTTCTCTCCCCTGATTCTATTCTCTACCTCTGCAAATATCTTAGTCGTCCCTGTATGGAAACCTGTTGTCATATTTGGGCTAGTTTTTCTAATGATGCTATTTCTTTTCTCGACAAGCCTATCTGCTAAGCTTGATCTTCTTATCCATCGTCGTGACGTGGCATCTCTTTTTCTTTTCTACAAATACTATCACCAAAATTCTAAAATCTGTTTCTAGAATAAACATTAATGTTCAAATAACAACTATTTTTCACAGAAGTTCACTCGTCAAACGTAAGACTAAATGGGTTTTCTTGCCGTTGAAGTTCAGATAATCTTTTTTTATTATCAAGTTTTAAATATTAGTAGCATATTTCTTAACTATTTGGAAAATGGATTCAGATGGTTTTGGCACGTCGAAACCTCGAGCTATCAACAATATTCTTAGCTCATTGAATGTTATGAAAACTCTGAATGCAGGCCCGTACCGCGGAGGGGGGGGGGGGTCGTTCGGTGCAATCAACCCCCTTTTTTATGCAAAGTGCCTTTTTTAATTTGACGCCAAAAATAATTTTTAGACTCTTTTCGATGTCAAAATATTTAATCAAAATTTTTATGATAATTATTTGATTTTTTTGAATTATTCTCATGAAACAATTTTTACTTTTTTGTTTCACAAACGTAAGGCGTCATTACAAGTCATTGCATTGTAAAATCTTTTGTAAACGAAAAATGAAAAATATTCTCTCCAGAGTTTATTCTCTAGTTTATTCAATTCTCTGCTAATATTAATTCACTTTTAAAAGCAGACGATAGAGTTAACATGCCTAACTTTATTAGGAAACAAGCAGCTGATAGAAAAGAGCTTCAAAATGCTGCAAAGAAATGCTAAGTCGTTAGCTGGATATTTAAGAAAAAAGTTATTTTGATCTTTTTATAATAATTAGTTTAAATCTGGGCTGTGGAGTTGGAGTCGGAGTTGCGGAGTTGCGACAATTTTAGCGGAGTCGGGGTCGCTAAAAAATATTGCGACTCCGACTTTGATAGTAATATTTCTTGGTGGCACGTGCATGTACAAAACATTCAATTAACCTTATGTTCATACAAAACTTCAAACAACGTTGCATAAATTTGTCAAAAAAAAAATTAACTTATTGCGCAATATTTTTTAAAGAATTCAAAGAATTTTAAAAAAATTCGATTTGGAGTTGGAGTTGGAGTCGAGTTGAAGTCGGAGTCGGAGTTGTACTCAAAAAATTTGAACAACTGGAGTCGGAGTCGTTACTTTTTTTTTACGACTCCACACCTCTGGTTTAAATAGACTGATATTAGCTAGATATAGATGTTAACTATATATAGATATTATCTATACGTTAAATTTTTTCATGATAGTACTTTTGTTGTTACTTGTTTTTTATTGTAATATTTGCGCGAGTTTTTTTAATTTTGGTATAGTTTAAGATCTGAAAGTTTATTATTAAATTCTTACGTTTCAAGTGTTTTTTATTACCTACAGTTCTCAAAATGTAACCGATAAAACATTACTCGAAGTAGAAGAAAAAGAGGAAGTCATTAAGATGATAATAATGTTAACAAAAGCTTGTCATGCAAAGTAGACCAAAGAATGTGGTTTCAAAGAAGTAGAAAAACGATATATTGACGAACTATAGCGCGGAAATTATGAATTATCACCACATTAAATATGCAAAATGTTTACGAATAACTTAAAACGAAAAATACATTTTCAATTTCCCAAAACATTAAAATATGGTTGACAACGCGCTTGTAAAGAAGAATATTTACAAAAGGGATTTGTCTACAGGAAAAAAGAAGACGCAGTATACTGCATATACTGCACTTTATTTCTAAAGCAGGATAAAAAAAATCTTTGTGAGCTTTTGATAACCCTGGATATAAGGCAGTAGATAACATAAAGAAGCTATTAAATAAGCTAATAACATTTGTTGTCGTTTTGAAGATCCAAAACAAACAATGTTATTACAAAGTCATAGCACTTTAAAAAAACGACAACAAGTGTACTTATACATTGTTGAAACATTAGGAAGAATAGTGCGTTTGATGGGGAAACAAGGAACTGTATTTCGTGGAATTTATGAAAAGTGAATGGAAAACTCAAAACAAAAAGATAATCCTGGAAACTTTTCTTTAATTGTGCAAGAAATAATTCGCCATAACGCTGAACTTTATGTCTATATACAAACACCATTACGCAAAGATGTCAGCTACTTTGGCTCCAAGTGCCAAAATAAATTAATTGATATAATTGGAAAGGAATGTATACAAGAGCGGCTAAATAATGAAATCAAAGCTGCAAATTACCATTCAATTTCAGCAGATGTGGTAAAAACAGCAAACTAACAAATTTTATCAGTATTTATGAGATACGTAAACGGAGAAAAAGAAATTAGAGAAGTATTTCTTAACTTTTGAATCTTGACAGGATAACAGGCAAACATATTGGGGAAAACTTGATAGCGAAAGTGGAATTGATCTTAGTTCTTGAAGAGGCCAGTATTACAATCGTACACCAAACATGCAATCTATAAAAAAATGTGTTGCTAGCTATATTTTAAAAAGCTTACAAAAGCATGTTGTATCAATTGCAGCAACATCAAAATTATCAATCATTGATAACATTTTGGAGGTACACAGAAATATATCTATTTATTTCAATACCTCTCCGAAAAGAGACCGTTTGCTGGAGCATATTGCAGAGATCCGTTGTAAATCAACTGAAAGAAAAAAATATTTGATAGGGATGTGCAAAACAAGATGGTCAGAAAGAGATGCCGCATATGAACACTTTTATTTAGCTATACCATTTATGGCAGAGGTATTAGAGATTATTTTAGGAATAAACTCTAATATAGAACAGTTCAATATAGAGTTTAGTATGGATTGCAAAGCACAAGGAAAAAGAGAGGCCAACTCACTACTTAATGCACTCACTAAGTTCGAACTCATGATTGGTATAACTTTGTACCACTTACTTCACCCGTTGTCGTATATAACAGAGAGGTTACAAGAGCGCACAACTGATTTTGTGTATGCATACAGTAACATTCAAGAAACAATTGACGATTTGAACCATCTACAGAAAAATGTTGAAAAAGAAATTTACGTAATTTACAAACAAGCTTATCGTATGGCAAATAAATTATTTGTAGAACCAACGGTTCCCAGAATCACTATGAGACAGGCTTACAGAAATAACGTACCTGCAGAGAGCCCCCATGAGTATTATAAACGGGCCTTGATTATATCTTTTCTCGACACCACCAATTTAGAAATCAAAATACGATTCCAAAGCCATTGGTGGCCGTCATTTTAGTTAAAACATTCGGCAGTGTATCTTTGTCTTCGCTTTTCGTAAAATAAGTTAAAATGTTTTTTCTGGGTCTAGCGAGTTAGAAATCAGATGTAGTGGAAATATCAGCAATAGATGGCTAAATTGAAACTTCAACTGGATAACCTTTTAATTAATTTTATTGGTGAAAAGTCCACTAGTCGAGCCACCACAGGTCTTGATTTCTCTAGCACATTTTTTACATTTCGCAACAACTCCAGAATTTTTGCACAAAAAGTAACAGGTAACTAAATATTAAAAAAAAAAATTTTTATCTAAAAAAGGCTTTTTTTATTTCAATAATCTAAGTTCTCTTCGGTGATATTTTCTTGCCTAGATATTTTAACTAAATATTAAAAGAGTATAATATTTCAAAATATAAATGTAACTTATTTAATACTTTGGTAACTAAATATAAATAAAAATGGCTTTCTACATCTAAGAAAATCTTTTTTTAAATCTATTTTTAAAGTCAAAGTTTTCTTCGGTGATATTTTCGCGCTTATTACTCTATAAAAATCTACGAGTCACGCACGAAGTCTTATCAGTCACAAGAATTTCTTGTGACTACAATCTCATCAAACAATTTCTGTCCGATGATAAAAATAACTGAAATACCGGTATTGAGAGCTCGGTATTGGAAAAATAGCCGGTATACCGGTACTGGATACCCTACCACCACCACACAAATATAACGTTGCGGTATATGTAAACATATAAAGCGTTTCTTTGAAATCTAATTTCTTAAAATGTTACAATTATTCGTTGTTTTTTTTTAAACAAGTATTGTAAATATATATACATTTAAAAATTAAAAAAGTTTTTTTTAAAAAAGCAATTTAAGCAATTCGCTTAAAACTCAAAACTTTGCAAATGAGACAACTTATATCTTTGCATATATGACCACTTATAATTTCGCATATATGACCAATTATATCTTCTGCTTCCATTCATTACATTACAGCAACAGTATACAAAATTGAATTATCCATAAAGATTCTCTGTATATCTTATGTTTGCCATAATAACTATTTTCATAAGTTCATCTTTATATTCTTATATTTGCCAATTTTTTTTCAAAGTCTGCTCTCATTTTTTCGAGTGCCTTTTGTTTTTCATATACAAGATTTTCATTCGGGTTAGGTTCATACATTCCGACTTGATTGATCTTTAGAAAGAAAAAAAAGTTAAGTTTGCTTTGTTAATGAAATATAAATTTATTATCCTATTATTAAAATATTTACTTTAAAAAATAAATGTGACTAACACTTTTGCTTGAATTTTGAAACTAAAATCACTTACCTGAGTATCATCGCTGTTATAACCACTAGAATTAGAAACAACTTGGCTACTAGGGGAATATACTTTACCGGTTTGTAACACGCTTTTGTCGGGCAAAGATTTTTCTGGCGGAGATTGGTATAATGAAGTATTTAAATAAACGGACGCACTTGGATAATTATTTAATAAAGCAACCGACGGATTACTGACACTATGCAAATTTTCAAAGTATTTTTTTGCGTTGGGAGAGTCTTTATACAATGACCCATCAGCTGCCTTCGAAGTTTTACTTTTTCCATACAGAGATGCTGGCTTAGAAGATCCTGGATAAAGCAAAGAAGGACTTGTGTTGAAAGAATTCGTGTCTTTACTTGATTGAATCGAGTCAAGATAATTATTTACATCAAGATAACGATTTTTGTCATCTTGTCCGTCATTTAAATAATTCCCGTTTGTTGACGGTCTGATTGGTCGAACTTTTCGGTTAGTTTGTTGTTTTTTGTAATCCAGCTGTTTCATTGCAAGATCAGCGTACGAACCATTAGACAATTGGATGGGGCTCTTACGTTGAGAAATTCCGTTGGGTTCAAGCTTTTTAATTTTTCTTTTGTTAATATTGTTTTTGTTATTATATAAGTATTCTTGCGCTTTATGGGAAGGATAAATGTTTTTGTTAACTTCTTCGTTATCTTCTGTATAACTTCCTGAGTTTTCTGATTCTGACGGTTGACTGCTCGACTTTTGTGACTGGCTATCCCTGCTTGCATTATTTCTAATTTCTTCTAAAGAAGCGCCATATTTCATTTGGTATGGGGGATTTGGTATAGAACTCGGTGTTTTTATCTCAGCTTCATGTTTTTGAAAATTAGAGGGAGCCTGGTATTCATCAATGTTTTTTTTCTCAAATTGCTCTGAATTGTACGCATCTTGTACAGATTTTGGTAACGGTTTGAAATTAAACGTGTCTTGTCTGTTAATGGCTTTTTCGTACGATTTGAATGGAATTGCAGAAGCAAAACGGTTAGTGGTTAAATTTCTTATACGGTTATAGTTCTGCTCGTTATTTGATTGATTATAATTTAACTGCATTTGTCGTTGATACTCTTCCAAGGCAGAAAACTTCCCACTTGGACTAGGTTTCAGCTGGCTTGCCACATCGTCCATTTTTTTCTTCAGTTCACTGAGACGGTTGTTAATATCAAGGTTTGCGCCATTTGGGGCGCTATTTGTAACTCTTACATTAGTGAAAGTGTAATTGTCAAACATCTTATTTGCGCCATCTCCAGATAAATTAACAGGTGATGCTTCCATTGTTTTTATATTTTGTGATTCAGGATTGCTTTCAGTTGGTAAATTTTTTGTTATATCAGCCTTAGTTAAACTAACATCCGATTTTGATAAATGAATAGGAGGAAGAAAAGAATTACTTCCCAAAGTTGAGTCAGCGGTTTGCTCGAAAATTTCAAATTTTCCTGTAATTGAGTTTCTTCTAATTTCAGATTTTGAATCAGATACTGTGTCTTTTGATGATACTTTAGTTAAATCTGGCATTGAGCGCGAGTAGACGCTGTTGAAGACATGGTTAGTTCTTGATAATGAGTGTTTAATTTTTTCATCTAATGAACTATTACCATATAAGTAAGCACTTGACGCTAGCATTTGAAATTTTTTATCCTAAAAAAATAAATTCATTTAAATGTCGCGACAAATGTTATCAAATTTTCATAAAAATATTTTTGTTACGCATTTTAACCTATTTTCTTAAAAACTAGTCATCGAAATTTTACAGTTAAAAATTTAAATCTTCGAAAGAAAATTGAATTCATAATTAATATTCATTAAAACATTGCCTTAGCAACATCAATCTTAACTTTGCAATATGAATCCTTTTTCTTTTTTTTAAACAATGAGAAGAAAAGTTTTTCAATGGACATTAATCAATAATTAGATATTTTAATAAATTTTTAAAATATAATCAATTGCAAGGTAACTTGCAATTTTATATTTAAAACATAATCAACTGCAAGGAAACTTGCAATATTATGGACCTTATTATTAACTAAATGCATGCACCTTACGTAGATTAGACAAAAATACACAAAAAGCAGCGCTTCTAGACATCGTTTTTTCTAAATTCTTTCTGCTCTTATCACAAATACTAATCGTCATCATTCAAAAGGATGTCATTGCAACAATATTAAAACATTAATAAAAATAAAAAAAGATTGGCGGCATTTTTCGAGTCATCAAGAGGTAAGATGGTTTTAGTAAATATTTACATACTAAAACGAATGATTGCGTTGTGATACATTGATCACTTTGAAATTATGTGTAAAGTTAAAATTTTTCACTTTCTTATTCTTAATTAAGAAAATGCTTTAAGCGCAATTACAACAAACTGTAAACATTTTAAGCACAATTACAACTAATCATAAACATTTTAAAACTTTTCTAAAATTTATTTTCTTTACAACAAACCACAAACATTTTAAATTGAACTTCATTCTCGATGTCACGTAATAAAATATTTTTAGAAAAGTAATGCAAGGAAAAATAATAAACTATTTGTACGTCGTCAAATAGCGTACGACGTCAAAAAATTAACTATTTGTACGCCGTCAAAGAAGACGTCAAACAATAAACTATTTGTAATGCCTGGAAGAATTTTTAATAGAAAACCGCCATACTTTTACATAACCAAAAAAAAAAAAATTTCTTTTTAAGATTTCGAAGAAAACAAAATTGAACGCTAATTTTAGTTGAATACCGTTTAAATTGTTTTTTGTCAATCTTAAAGAAAAAAAATCATTAAAAAAAAAAAAATCATAATAATAAAAAAATAAAAAAAACTAATAACAAAATATTAAATTTGTTTATTTGCTCGCTATCAAAACCATTCACAATAAAACTACTCAAAGCCATTTCAAAAATCCAAACTTAAAAAAAAGCAATTTTTAACGTACGAAATACAACCGCATTTCAGACTCGAAAAATGTCTGATGTGATTTGATCGTACATGAATCAAAAAATTATAAGTGATGGAATTACCAATATTGTATATAGACAATGTTTAATCAAAAACTATTTTTGTTTAGACAAACTTCTTAATAAAAACCTAAATTTATGAAAGCAGCAAAGAAAAATAAAAAAATATCTACTTACAATGTTTCTGTTGTTTTTTTGAAAAAATCCAAATGATTCTGTCTAACATCCCTGTTTTTTATATATCGCTGTTACCACTATACAAATACAAATCATAACTGTGCAAGCATTAAGTCACCATAGTTACTATACAGGTTGCCACATACATTATAAAAAACAATCTTTTAAGTCATTAATAATACATTTTGGTAAAATTATTTTTACAACATATTTAAAAATTAATATGAACACAGTTAAACTTTATTAACTTGAACCGTTACTCATGAATTGCATAATGTAAACACAACATAACTCGAATAAGGCATATTTTAAACACTGCATATTCCAAATAATGCATATTTGGAACATTCCATAACAACAAAATAATGCCTAAGTTTGAACATCCCAAAACGTTGTCATGCCGTTGCTTTTTTCAGTAAAAAAAAAATAAAAAAAATTTAGCATTATATTTCTTTGGAGTTAAAAAAATACATAGATCCATTTTGGAAAATAAATAGTAAATAAATATAAGAAATTAATAAAACATTTACAAACACTTTGAAATAAAATAACTTAAAAAATTTAATTCAGATTAAAGGTTCTTTAGTTCTCTTTCCAGACCATAAACATGTGACTTTAAGTTGTGCAATTCGCCTGCAATTTTTTTGGCTCGATGGGCAGTGGAGTGAACGTTTTTTAAAATTTCAAAATCGAATTGATCACCAATATTTACAGTAACCTAAACAAACCATAATGTTGTTCAAAAAAATTCAAAAGAAGGTTTAAGCTTTAGAATATAAGTTAAATATAAAGAAATCCAGACCCGAAATGAGACAAACTTAATTCTGAATTTAGAATTTGTAAAAAATTAAACAGATCGAGTCACTAAAAAATCACAATTTAATCAGTTACCGTTAAGCGTGTTCAATACTTTGTGCCAATTTTACAACAATGTCTTTTTTGGTTATTGTTAGCGCATTAGTAAGTATTGATAGCCACCACATAGTTATTAAAGAACATTCATTTTTTTATATCTACTTATTTAGGCTTAAAAATAATGTAGAAAAAAATTTAAAAGGAGAAAATATTTTAATTAGACGATGTTTTGACAAACTTCAACATTCAAATACCAAAATTTATAAAAAGTTGTTTTTAAGTGTATTTTATAAGTCTCGCTAATCACTAGATGCTAAATTAAACAGAAGATCTTTCTTTGTTTTATGTACTTTTATGTAACAAGTCCTTATGCAGAGCTCTACCTTCTCCGCCTATTGAATGCGGGCTACTAATTTGACCATTTATTATCCAGTCTTCTTACTACTATTAACAAGGTCTTTGATTCTTGATTTAACAAAAAACTATTATCAAATCTTGAATGTAAAACTTTTTGATAGATCATTCTATTGCTGCAATCATTCTATTGCCGCTATCATTCTATTACTGCAATCATTCTATTGCTGCAATCATTATATTGCTGCAATTATTTTATTGCTGCTATCATTCTATTGCTGCTATCATTCTATTGCTGTAATCATTCTATTGTTGCAATCATTCTATTGCTGCAATCATTCTATTGCCGCTATCATTCTATTGCTGCTATCATTCTATTTCTGCTATCATTCTATTGCTGCTATCATTCTATTGCTGCTATCATTCTATTGCTGCTATCATTCTATTGCTGCTATTATTCTATTGTTGCTATTATTCTATTGCTGCAATTATTCTATTGCTGCAATCATTCTTTTTCATCTATTATTGCTTTGATAACTGCAACAACAGAAGGGATTTTTAATACATTAAACGGATAAAGTGAGGTCAAGAGTTTTCAATAAAGTCTGTGTCGGTCCTCTTAATAACTTCGCTTTTTTTACAGTCTTAAATTTTTCAAGATTATATTCTAATATTAAAATATTTATTTTCTAATCATAAAATTAAAGTCATTCTTGATGAATTTTTTTTTATTTTTCTGGGGTACCGCAAGTATCTATTCTTTTCCATCTTGTTTCTAAATTATATTGATAAACCTCTGAAGAGACCTAGTATCCTAACTTCAAAGAGACCTTCAAAGTTCTTAATAATACAGGCCTATATATTTGAGTCTTACAAAAACTCACCATTTCTTCAATTCTTACAACAGGAAGCTTAAACGCAAACTTTCCTGGGATAGTTTGGGACTCACTTTGAAGGGTTAAAATCAGATGATTTTAACCCCCTAAAAAATTTAGTTGTATACTGTTAATTCTTATCAAAGTAATGTTGATATTTCAACATTATTATTGATGTATAAAAACAATCTTACTGAGTCTTTTACTTAACATTTTTTCCGATTATCTGTCATTGCTGAACTTTTATGAAAGCTGTATATCATCATTAAATCCATTGTAAAATTAGAATGTGTAAAAGAGTTTTTCTTGATTGTACCCATTTTCTTACTTCATATTCCATTTTCTACTTTTTCAATTTTTTATCTTTTTATAGAATATTGTTGTCAAATATTTTTTTAATGATACTCTTTCACTTTTAAATTTCATGTGTTCGGATCATGTACTTGGATAATGTGCAAAAACGCATTTTAAACATAGTTAGACCTGCTCTAGCATCCAAGTTTGAAACATTAGTAAAACATGTTGTTAGCAACAACAACATTTGTCAAATTAACGACATTTCAAAATTAATACAACTTTGACATATGTATAAAAAATGCTTTTATCCATCTTTTACCTTTGTTTAACAAAATGAGAGTGGTGCAGTGACGGAACCCTTATTTTCAGTTTCACTACATACTCTGAGGTGGTGAGTAAACGTCTCTATCCATTTATTTGGCAGCAAAAATCTTAAATATTTTTACTAAGCCACCTAAACATATCTTTTTTTTTTGTGCACAATTTATGTTCTTTTAAAAAATGCATATAAAAAAACTTGAATATGAATAAATAGTTTAAGTATGAATAAAAAACTTCAGAGTATTAAACAACACTGAGTTTCTATGCAAAACCACTACAATAAATAACCAATAAATCCACCATTCAAGATTCATTTTTAATCTTGAACTACAGAATTAAATCCCCACAACAACTATAAAGAGCGCGGTACTACCACGTCCCTGGTAGTACCGCGCTCAACTCGTTTCTCCGCGCAGCGACCTTGTTCGTCAAGGTTCGTGTTTCAGAGTTATAGAGTTGAGAGAGGGTTATAGCCACAAAATAAGTAGCCTCCTCGTTTGTAGTGGCCTTCTCAGCCTTGAGGAGGTAAAGTAAAATAAAAAAAAAAAAAAAATTTCCTTATAACTTTTAGAAACTGTTCAGGCCAGCAGTATTTAAAAGAGATAAATTTAAATGTATAAATGCATTAAAAATTAAGTTATAGTAAAAAAATCACCAGAATGACGTATGAATCTGATAGAATAGACATTCATTGATAAGTTTTCCAAATTTCAACCATCAACTATTTAGCTATGTTAGCAAATCTTGGTTGGCCCAAGACAGGTTTTATGTAAAAATTGCCAAAAACAGAGAAGTGATCCAAAATCATTAAAATATTTTAACAATGTTTATTTTTATTTCGTTTATCGTAAATATTTACTTAACGAAGAAAGATAGTTCTTTTATATTTTTAAATTCAAAGAAAGCATTTATAGAAAAAAATACTATTAATTTAAAGTTAATGAATTTTTATACTTTTTATGCGGAAATTCTTTTTTTTTTTTAACACACAAAAATTCTTGAGACGTCAAGCTCGCTTTTATATTGAGTAAAACAGCCGTGTGATCCCTATCCCCTCTAAAGTTTTGGAATCAACCATTCCAGATAAAATTATGAATTATTAATAAAAAAAGTATATCAAATGAAAATCAACATGGATTTAGAAAAAAAGCTGAACAACTAATCTATTGGAAATTCTTGATATAATTAACAGATGCTCTAAAAAATGGCTTCTCAATTGATATGGTATTTTTGAAATTAAAATATTTTAAAAACATTTATATTTTCATCTGCATAAAAGGTTGAAATTTCAATAACTTACATCATCCATCAATAAATTTATATTTTACATTTAAAAGAGATAAATTTAAATGTATAAATGCATTAAAAATTAAGTTATAGTAGAACTAAGTTATAGACTTTAAAAAAATGTTAAATTGCCACATTCATGGTTAATCACTAAACTGCAATCATATGACATGTCTGCTCTTTTCTAGAAGAGAGCAGACAACATGGAGATCTTATTTAGCAAAATAAAATTCAAGATGTATTGTTTTTTATCTACATTAATGATTTTCCTGACAATCTTACATCTAAAGAGGCTCTATTTGCCAAGGATTCAACTTTATACTCTTGTCTTGACAAAAAGTCTTCTCTTTTTAATCACGTAAAACAGGCAGCCAATCTTGAATTCGATCTCACTTATGTAACAGCTTAAAGCTTGCAGTAGCTTGTAAATATAAACTTCAACAAAACTCAATTATTTACTGCAAACAGTTATCATAATACTGTCGACATTTCTTTATTGATGTATTCTTTATTTATTGCAACCCTCTCACTGAGTTCTCTTCTTTACATCTTTTTGGATCACTACTGACCTCATATAAACTATATATCCAATCAATTGCAAAGTTAGCACCTGCTAAGGTTGCTTTTATTTATTATGCTTGCCTTTATCTTATTCCTCATTCCATTCTCTACCTCTATAAAGCTTTTATTTATCCTTGTGCGGAATACTGTTGTCATTTATGGGCTGGTTTTTCTAAAAATGCTCTTTCTCTTCAAGACAAGACTCAAAAACACAATATAAACGCAGTTAGATCAGCTTTATCTGCCAAACTTGAGCCTCACTCTCATCCTTAAAAAGTCACATTTCTTTCTCTTTTCTATAAATACATCATCATGGTTGCTGCTCAAAGTAGCTATCATCTCTAGCTCCATCAACCAAAACTAATTATTGCTTGATTTGCCATTCAGAAAATTTACATCCATTTACGGTATCTGTCCCTGCATGCTCTTAAAACTTTTTTTCGTCTAGATTTTAGATAAAAACTCTCTCCCATCCTCATGTTTTTCTGAGTCATACAACCTACAGCTACTTCAAGTCTTCTGTAAATTGTTTCCTCTTTTTTTTAGTAACTCTTATTTTAGTAACTTTTTTTTTGGTAACTTTTTTTAAGTAACTTTATTTTTTTAGTAACCCCCAGAGTAATAAGTAAGGTTGTTTGCAGCCTTGTTGGAGGCAAATTAGATTTTTGAAAAAAATGATTCAAATATGAAATAAAGAATAAAGATTATTCAAATATGAACTGAAGATAATAAATTTAAACAACACTAAAACAAGTAATGAAATTATCAAAAAATAAAAGAATTACCTTGAATAGTTGTTTTTCAACATCTTTTAATCTTTGTCTCATTATTTTTATATCATTTTTAAAACCTTCAACTTCTAATTCTCTTCTTTTCTCTAGAGCTTCGTACCTTTGATTCATGAGTTGTAATCTCTGTGTTAACTTTTCTACTTTTATTTTAAAAGAATCTTTACCATTATCATTCTCTTCTTTTATACGAGCCAACTCATCTTCCAAACCAATTACCTTAATTATGAATAGGAGATACGTGTTTATATTTATTCAAGCATGCAAATGCATGTAACAATTTCAAGTATGTATAAGTATGTTATTACTCATTAAATTGGAATAATTCAACATATGCATATATAATAATTCCATTTAAAAATTTTAACATAATGGCATAATGGACCTCCATCTAACTATGATTTTTTAATTCTTAAAATCTTATTCTTTTACGATAAAAATTATTCATGTCAAATTTATAACAATACTTTGAACAAATATTCAAAGTTTTAAAAATAAAACTAATTTTAAAGTTTTCTTAGTGAATCAGGAGATAATAAAAAAATGCTGTGATGCTGCGATGAAAGTTTGAAAAAAGTTGTTCAAGAATCTAAGTAGCTTTCCGAAAACCTACAGAAGTTAGGGCTAAAGGCTGTCATGAAAGGATCTTGTCAATATTTTAAGGATTCTCCTGCTGTGCATGAAGGTTATATTTCTGTTACAGGTTTTACAATTTTTCCCTTGCAGTTCAGTCCAACAAGGGTCGCAAACGCCTTTTAACCTTTAACTGTTTTATTTTGCTTTCAAAGTATTTATATAATTTTAGATTGGTTGAGGACAACGGCATCATCAAGACTCAAGGAGAATATGGAAAAATATAATAAAGATAGTTGATTTTTGGCAGAACCTACCAGCTTTTGAAAATCAATCATTGAAAAGTTATTAGGCTATAAAAAAAAAACAGTTGAAGATAAACTACTTTCAGTAAAGCTTTTATTTTTCTACTATATCACAAACCTTTTGCAGCCATATCTTAGAAAATATAAAACCAATCGTCCAATTGTATGTATGTGTGTATATACATATATACACACATACATACAAACATACATACATACATACATACATACATACATACATACATACATACATACATACATACATACATACATACATACATACATACATAAACATTTTCTACTGATTGGGCAAGAGTTTTTTTGTTTACAATTTACAATTTTTGTAATTTTTTTATTCAGAATTTCTTTTTAGTTTAATAAAGCATTATTGTGACCTTTTAAAATTCTTTACATATTTTTTGTGCAACTTTAGCTAACTTTAATTATAAATTTTATGCAATTGAGTAAGAAGTGTTTATTCAGCAATTTTAAAAACACTTTTTATGTTAGTGGAAACATTTTTGCTATATTGAGGGTTAAACCAAATTATGCTACTAGATCTGTTTCATTTTTTGTATTCTTTTTTTCTGGGCAAACTTATGTTCAAAATTTTAAAAGCCACTTTCTTGTATTCAATTTGTAAATACTTTGTAAATACATAAAAATGTATTCAATTCCTTTTAATGTATTTACAAAGATTCCACAAAAGAAATCTTTGTAAATACATTTAAAGTAATTAAATATGTTTTCAATAGAGAAGTTTTTGGTTTAGCCTGTTATTAGTTTTTATTTTTTTAGATTTCTTTTCTATTGAAATTATTTTAGATTTGTTTTATTAATTGAAATTATTTTAGGTTTGTTTTAGGATAACAGAAAGATGAAGGAAAAAAAAAAAGAAATTTAAACAAAAATTTTAATAACTAAACAACAAATCTAATCAGTAAATAAAGTAAGAAATTTTAAAAAGAAAGAAATTAAAATTAACGAAAAAAGAAATAATAATTAAGTGCATATAAATTTTAAAAAAAGTCGAGAAAAATTCAAATAAAAAGGAGAAGTCCAAATAAAAAGGAGAAGGAGAGAGTTAAGTCTTATAAACTTTAAAAAGGACAAAAAAAAAAAAAAAAATTTGAAGATTTAATCTCCTAAATTTAACTAAAAGAAAAGATAAAAAAGAAAAAAGAAAAGAAAAAGATAAGAAAAAGGAAAACAGAAGAAACCAACAAAAAAGTGGAAGAGAAGAAAGAAAAGATCAAGTATTAGAAGATATTTTTGTAGCTGGTCTTTGTTGTAATTATCATTTTTTTTATTTTATTTTAATTATTATTTGTATTAGATATTTATTTTATATTAGATTATTATTTATTCATTTTACTATTTCATAATATATACTTATATCATTCTTTAACGTGGTATTTGTTATATTATTATTTATTACTATTATATTAATTAATTAACATTATAATGTTACCATTAGTTATTTTTATTAAATACTATATTTGTTAAATATTATCATTTTGTGTATGCATTTTGTTTTGTAGTTTTTGTGTTTCTCTTTTCGTTTGTGTAAAGTTTGTTATTATTTGTGCTAATTATTTTTATTGTTGATTCCTGTTTTTCTATTTTACCAAATTTTCTATATCTTTTTTTTTTTTCTTTATTTCGCAAAAATAACTAAAGTTTGTCCTTATTTTTTAATTTTTTTTTTGTAGAAGTGTTTGTGTTTGCCTTATTGTTTTGTTGTTTTTGTGTTTTGCTTTTTCGTTTGTGTAAGGTTTGTTTTTTATTTGAACTGTTTTGCTTATTATTTTTATTTTTGTTTGCTGTTGTTATTGAGTGTTTTCATATTTTTTGTCTTATTATTTAAATTATCAGTGTTTTTCGTTAATGCTTTATCATTATTATTATTTTATTTATTTTCTTAGCGATTTTTGGTTCATATTTATTATTTCTAGATTATTATACTATTTTACTTTATTTTATTATACTATTTTATATTATTATACTAATTGTTATAATTAATTGGTGTCACTCATTTTGATTATGAATGACACTCATGTCATCATATTATTTGTATTATTATATATAATATTATTTTTAATTATTATTGTTATAATTATTTGGTGTCACTTCTTTGATCAGGCTTCTGTTTGAGTGACACCTTCCTTTTTAAATAACTATTTATATTTATTCTTATTAGTTATATTTTATTATAATTATATTATTTGTATCATTATAAATAATATTAATATTTTTTAATTATTGTTATAATTATTTGGTGTCACTCCTTTAATCAGACTTCTGTTTGAGTGACACCTTTCTTTTCAAATAACTATTTATATTTATTCTTATTAGTTATATTTTATTATAATTATATTGTTTGTATTATTATAGATAATTTTATTATTATTATTATTGTTATTATATGATTATATGTAAACTTTGAAAAACGAAAATAAATATCTTGTTGTTGATGTTGTTGTTGTTAGGATGTTTGAGTTAATACAATGGTACAATAGTTCATTATTCCATTTTTAGTGTTTTATATATTTTTAACATTTATAGTTTCACACCTGATTGGTTCAAATGGAATGGATGAATTATGATGATCATTTTAATGTATGACACCAAAAAAAAAAAATCTGAATCTGATTTAATATGCAAGAATCCTTAACAATGAACCCTTGTTACCCTATAAGTATTGTGATCAACATGTTTCTTTGACAGTCAGCATTTATCAATTTTGTATACCAACATCTTAATTAAAATTAGTTCTCGAAAAAGTAGAAAAATAAAGTCTTATTAAATCTTAGATTTAGTTTAATTCAATTTATGGCAATACTTATGTATTGTGATTCTGTCCTGCATTCTAAGGAAAATATTAATGCTAAAAACATGAATTGTCATACAATATACATGCAAATAATATACATATCATACAATATACATACAAAATATAAATGTCGTACAATATACATACAAAAACATGAAACGTCATACAATATACTATTAAATCATAACTGGCTTCAAGGCTATCCTGAGGGAGAGGGGTGTAGGAATTGTCTACCCCCCTCCCCCCCCACACACACAAATTATATTATTCGGCAAATTGTATGCAAATACAATATATATATATATATATATATATATATATATATATATATACATATATACATATATACATACACACAAAATGTATATATATATATATATATATATATATATATATATATATATATATATATATATATATATATATATATATATATATATATATATATATATATATATATATATATTTATGTATATATATATATATATATATATATATATATATATATATATATATATATATATATATATATATATATATATATATATATATATGTTTGTGCTTGCATATATCTTAAGGAGAGTGCTTGATGAATTAAAGTAAAGTAAATTAAAATGAATTTAGTTAAAACAGAGTTTTTTTTTAACTATATATTTTTTACAACTACAACTTTCAACTTTTACAAGTTTCATGCTAAATGCAATCAACTGGTATTAAATATGATTTTTTCTTGTAATAAATAACTCTGTACAAAAGAAAAATGTTTTAGAAAAATCTTATCTTTTGGTTTGTGATTATCCAGAAAAAAATTTTTCTCATAGCAACACTTGGATATCAGTTTGTCTTTTTTTTGAATGATAATTCTTTGGGATTTTTATACAATAAAATTATTTGTTTTTTGTATTAGCATAATAGACATTTTTGAGTTGTTGTAGGCAAGACTGCTTTTTATGACAAACCATGTTGAATTGAGTGTTGTTTTTAACTTATTATTTGTATCCCATAGGTACTTTGAAAGCGTGGTTGCTTGTGGTTTGTCCATCTAACTTTTGGCATGCTCTCTGTTGAACCTATATATGTTTTGTTGGGTGTGTTTGGGAATGATGCAATGCAATTATATATACAATAAATTACATTTGTTTTCCATTCATCTCTAGTAGTGTCTGTGTGCGTATGTCTGTCTGTGTGTGTGTGTGTGTTACAATCTTAATGATAAAAATAAATTAATTATAAAAATACTACGCACTGTCCGCTTTGATGTTAAAGTTATTTATAAAAAATTTGCTTTCATAGTGACATTTTGGTACAAGCTCATTTTTCGTGTTTAAACAAAAGTAATGACCTGGTATCAAAACTTGATAACAAATTTTGTTTTGACCATGGGAATACACATTTTAGGGTATCTTTATTCTTTGGTTTTAACCAACACAGTTTTTTCAAAATAACTTTTTCAAAAACTCAACTTAAGTTACGTCATAAGATGCATGGTACATGTCTTGTTTGATAATTTATACCATACAAGATGTGTAGTAATTTAAGTGGAATATAAGAAACAATTTCTAAAAAAAAATACTTTTAAAAAATAAAACATGAAGCTTTATTTATGCATGAAGAGTTTATTAACTGATGATGATGACGATGATGATGATGATGATGATGATGATGATGATGATGATGATGATGATGATGATGATGATGATGATGATGATGATGATGATGATGATGGCAACTGCACAATATTGAACTGGTTTCATTTTAATATAAATAGTTTAAATTACAATAAAAATAAGGAAAAAAAAAGATAAACACCAATAAACCTGTTCTCTATACATTTCTGCCATATTCTGAGTTTGCTCAAGGCTGTTTCGTAACTGATTAATAACCATTAGATTAGTTAATCGAATATTACTTCCACCAGATGATCGATTTTGGGTATCAGCATTTTCAGAATTTGATACCTAACAAAAATTATATAATATTATAATATGTATATGATGGTTGCGTAAGTAATCAGTTATAATGATTATACCAAAAGATTAACTTTATAATAAACATAAATCAATCATTCTAACTAAATCATTTAAAAATCTGTACCTATAATGCATTTAAAGTCAAAATCTGTAACTATAATGTATTTAAAGTTAAAACCTTTAGTCTTAATCAAAATATGAGATTTAATTCATTTGGGGTTTAAATGACTAAAGAAATGTTGTTTGAATTATTAACTTAAACCTAATCTAAATGGTTTAAGTTAATTAATTTAAGACATTCAAAAAGTGTTTAAATAGAAAAAGTTGGAAGTATAGCTTTTTAAAAACAGTCCTATATTATAAGACAACTATCCCATTGTATTCGAAATGTTAAAATTATCCTGATGGAAAGCATTCTCTTTTGGACTTTTGGACTGGATGATTACCTTTCTTTTTAAGACAAGTTCCAACAATGCATTGTAAATGTAGTTAGACCATCTTTAACTGCAAATCTTGAGGCTCTGTCCCATTGTCATAAGGTTAGATATATTTCTCTTTTCTATAATAAGTACTGCTTAGTCAGCAATCACTTCTTTTTCTACCTACCAAAATATCTTACAAGACTTGTCACTCAGCAAGGTTGTATTTTTTTACTGATCCTTTGTTCTCAAAAATTTTGATTAATTTTGTTTTTTCCTCAAACATTAATAGTTTTGAATGAATTCTTGCCGACTTATACAAATTTATACAAATTAAAATTTTGCTCGCTTTTTAACTTCTTTATTTTCTAGCAACTCCTAACAAATAATGATTTATTTGTATATAAGTGTGTATATATGTGTGTGTGTATATATATATATTTAACATTTTCACCTCCAACAAGGCCGCAAGGAACCACTATTAGAGTTGAAAGTTACTGGAAGAGAAAAGATAAAGTTTATAGAGCAAGATTAATTTTAACAGACAACTTAAAAGATACAAATTATATAAAGCAGGAAAACAAAATGAAGGGAGTGTATTCCAAAGAACTGATATTCAAGGAAAAAAACTAAACGAATAAGAATATTAAGAGCACTTAAGAACAGCCACAGTTTAAGGATGAGACTTAATTGAAAGAAAAGTAACATGAGAATGAATTTTAGTGGATGGCACAAGAGACACTTGCTCTTTAGAGCAGTGCCCATTATAGTATTTATAGAAAAGAGAAGCAGCATTACGACAATGTGATAATGGTTGGTGTTGGCTTCAAGGGCAGGTCCAACTATTTTTACAATGCATTTTTGCACCTTGTTTAAAAGAGGAAGAACATTGTTAGAAGATCTGCCCCAGATATGGCAACAGTATTCCATCCAAGGACGGATTTGAGATTTATAGAGATAATGAATAGAATCCGGAGTAAGAAAGTGGCAAGCACGATAAATTCACCTGGTTGTTGCAAAATCAGGATTAAATACTCAGATCTTTTTTTATGCACTTTTCTTCATTTTTTTTTTTGTTCCTTATTGTTCCTAATCTTCTTGATGTTATTTTTAATCAAATTGACAAATTCTCATTTAACATAACCAAAAACACAGTTTAAGTTAGCACAATGCCTAAGTGTCATATCTGAAACATCAAAAAACCCTGACTACTACTTCAGTACATACACTGACTATCTTATAGCCTGTTGCCACTAATGAGTGCCGCTACATTGACTAAGAGTTTGGCATGGGAAACCGGTCTGTGCATTCATTATTCTTCATTTTTTTACTCTTTTTCTAAAAACACTGTATGCTATAAAGGTAGGAAAAACTAGTTAAAATTTGTTATCTAAATATGCTATAGTATATATATATATATATATATATATATATATATATATATATATATATATATATATATATATATATATATATATATATATATATATATATATATTTTTTTTTTTCCTTTATTTTTAAGTTACTCATAACTTAATTTTTTGTTTTTTTTTATTTTGATCCACTCCTAACAAGGCTGCAAGCAACCACTATTAAGTTGGAAGTTACTAGAAAAAAATAAAATAAAAATGAAAATGGTTGACAGGAAGGAAATGGTTGACAGAAGACTTAAAAAGTTGATGGTTGTATGAATCAGGAAAACATGATGTCAAGAGAGTTCTAAAGTGTTGAAGTGCGGGTAAAAAAACAACAAGACAAACAAAAGTTTTGAGAGCATGCAGGGACAGATAAAGAAAAAGAATGAGACTTTGCTAAATGGCGAGATTGAGTTTTAGTTGATGAAACTAGAGATGATAATTCCTTTGAGCAGCAACCATGATAGTATTTGTAGAAAAAAGAGAGAGATGCAACGTTACGATGATGGGAAAGAGGCTCAAGCTTAGCAGATAGAGAGGATCCAACTATGTTTACAATGTATTTTGAACTTTGCCTAGAAGAAAAAGAGCATCATTAGAAGAAATAGCCCAAATATGACAACAGTATTCCATACATGGACGAATAAGAGATTTGTAGAGGTAGAAAATGGAATCAGAAGAAGAAAATGGTGAGCACGATAAAGAGAAGCAAACCTTAGCAGATTCTAATTTATCAATCGGTTTTATATAAGGTTTCAATGAAAGGTCAGTAGTAAACTTTAATCTGATCTCACTTTTGTTACAGAAGTGAGATCAGATTCAAGATCGGCTGCCTGTTCTAAGTGATCAAAAAGAGAAGACTTTTTGCCACACAAAAAGAAGATCATTAATGTAGATACGAATCAAGGATAGGTAATGTAGATAAGAATCAAGGATAGAACCTTGAGGTAACCTAGAAGTTACTGGAAATAAACAAATGTTGGCCTTCGAAGATGACTTTAATTAAGCGATTAGAAGGAAACGATTTGTTAATCTCAAAAACTTTCCAAGATACACCATATCAAACAAGCTTATGGAGCTTAAGACAAACAAGTTTATGGACCTACATGCTAAACTTTGTTGAAAGCTTTAGATATGTCAACAGCCCTAGCCTCTCCACCTCCATCTAATGCATAATAAAATCTTTCAGCCACAGCAGTTAGTAAATCAGCCATAGAACGAGAGGATCGAAAAAAGTATTGATTATCTAACAGTAAGTTATTTGACTCAAGATAAGTTGTAATAATGGTGGTTTTATATATATATATATATATATATATATATATATATATATATATATATATATATATATATATATATATATATATATATATATATATATATATATATATATATATATATATATATATATATATATATATATATATATATACATATATATATATATATATATATACAGTAAAATCCTGTTAACTCAGACTCTGAACGGGTATATAGATTTTGTCTGACTTAGTGAATGTCTGAGTTAAGCGAAGCATTTGGTATGTATAGAGAATTCTAAAACTTGTCGGAATTGGTAAATGTCCGACTTATCCAGGGTCCAAGTTAGTGGGATTCTACTTTATATATATACATACATACATTCATGTTAAATACATACATACATGTTAAATTTGTTTTATCAAAAATAAATTTGATAAAACATTTGAACCAATAAATTTTAAAATAAATTTTTTTATTTGTTGAAATTAATTTTTATATTTTTGAACCTTATCTCACAGGCTAAGAACAATGTTAATTATTCACTATTAAATAGTGATACTTTTTTGATCTTTACCTTATTTTTATCATCATTATTGAAAATTAAATTCACATTCCTCAAGGAGGTTTTTTTTTAAACTTTATTTAAAACTTTCTTTCAACTCCATTCCAAAACTTGTTAAATAACATTAAACTTGTTAAACAAAGCTGCTGCGCAAAGTTTGCATGTTGTACTTCCAGTGTAGGGTGGGTTTGAACCTTAATCCTCTTGATTGTGAGCTGAAAGTTCTACCAATAGTCTACTACTTCATCACTAGTCTCCAACTACTATACTACTTTGTCACTAGACTTCTTTGACAACTACTTTTACTTCTTTGTGAATTCTTTATGTGTCTTATTATTAAGTGTAATAATAACAACAATAATAAAAATAATAATAATAGCAATAAAAACCTTGTTGCATTTCTTTTTTCCACATAACTTTTCTCTTAAAGAATTCATTTCTTGTAGTATTTTATCTCTTTCATCGACCCATTTTCTCTCTTTCAGCCTGATCTCATATTTGACTTCTAAATAATCTTTAGTGCTCTCATATAACAAAGTCTGTGTCTTCTGCAAGTTGTCAGTGAGTCGAAGTATCTTTTCTGCATCCTGCACTTGCTGCGCTTTTTGTTCGTCATTTTGCACTTTTCGGTCCTCTAGCAGAGAATTAATTTGTTCCCGAGAAAGCTTTGTTTGTTCTTCAAGCTGGGCTTGCAATGACTCAATTTGCAATTGATAATTTTGTCGTTCATTGTTTGTTATATTAACAGAAGGAGATTTACTTGTTTGCTTATTTGAGGAAGACATTGCTATAAAAAAATTATATAATTACTAACTAGTTATAAATTTCTAACTAGTTATATTAATAATGGTGAGCATAAATTTCTAACTAGAAAATTCAGAGGGTGCCCATTTAGCAGTCGTTTATATATATAAATTTTAATTATTTTCAGAAGTGAAGTAAAGCCATGGAAGCCAAAGAAATATATGTTATGCATACTTAATAAATACTCATGCCATGGCACTCATTTTTAGCAACCATTTACATACATAAATTTTATTTATTTTTTTACATACATAAATTTTACATACAATTACATACATAAATTTTATTTATTTTGAGATCATTAATATAAAAACTCTTTAAAGAATATATTCATTCGAAATCATGAAAATATATAATTTTATTATATATTTGTAATTATATAAATAATTATTTACTTTGTTAAAAGACTTTCAAACATAATGTCAAAACTGATATTAAAATATTTCCCCAGATGATGACATCTAAATTGATTGATTAATTACTTAAAGTATGTGAAAATAATTTATTTTTATTATTATAAATAAACACTAATGCGTTTATATACTTGTAATTATATAAATAATTATTTACTTTGTTAAAAGATTTTTTAACATGATGTCCAAACTGATATTAAAATGTTTTCCCAGATGATGACCTAAGTAATTCTTTATTAGATTACAATACACAACACAAAAAAAAAAGCAAAAAAAAAAAAAAATTAACTATGCTAAGAATAAGCTTACGCTGGTTCATTTTTATTTAAAATAAATTCAGAAGTAATGCCAAATTTTTAAGACATTATTGGTTATTAAGTGGTTTCCCATATAGAAGAAACAGTTTTCATGATCAAAAAATTTCCAGCACATGAATAAATATATAAATATATATAAATATATATATATATAAATATATATATATATATATATATATATATATATAAATATATATATATATATAAATATATATGTATATATATATATATATATATATATATATATATATATATATATATATATATATATATATATATATATATATATATATATATATATATATATATATATATATATATATATATATATATATAGGCTTCGGCAGGAATAAAAACCGTACGGGCTATGAAAAGCCCGTCTTAAATAGACTTGGCGGGCTATGAGGGCCGCCCGTTTAGATGGTCTTGCACGGGCTTTTTTAAGCTTTAAGAAAAATTCTAAAGTTTGAACTTTTTTTTTTTAAATTTGTTAATTTCTCTTCTTCTTTTTGAATAAAAATGTCATTGAATATTAAACATTTTGTGAATTGCACTAAAATAATATGTTAGAAAGCGATTAACTGTTTAAAATGCTTAATTACTTAAGTAATTAAAACACTGCAGTAAATGAGTTGGATAATACTTAAAACTAAGATTTCAATAATTGTTTTTCAAAGTTTTCACTTGCACAGATCTAATTTCGTTTCACGTGGGTTAGTTGTTTTATGGTTGCTTTTGTTTAGATTTCTTACTCGAAGGAACTTTATTCAGTTTTTTATGTTTTTTTTTTTTTAATCTTTATTCCAGATAATATCTGGCAGATATAGTCAAACGAATGAACGTGAAAACGACGGGAAAAATCCTCGAAACAAACATGGCGTTTCATCACGTTTCCTTATTCAAGCATCCTAACGTGTTTTTTTACCGAAGTCTTTTTGAGTATATTTATATATTATTGTTTTATTCAAGTATTCGATTAAATTATACAGGTTTTTATCGTGCTTTTTTAGTTCATTCGTTTCTCTTATTCTTTGTGAATAAAAATATTACATAATATTTTCAAAATCTAATTTTTTTAATTATTCAGCAAATAGTTTGAAACCTTTTTTTTTTTTAACCTTGAATCAATGAGCTCGGTAGTTTTAGAATTGTTTGGTATTAGCTTGGTAATATGATACGTAACTATGTTATTTTTCAAATTCAATTATTTATATACTCTTGCATTCTATTGGGCGTGCAAATTAAAAACTTAAACTGTTATTTATATTTTTATAACTTAGTAGTCCCCTCTATAAATGCTAATGCTTTTGATTTTGCCAGACCTTTTAACTCGCGAAGCAATTCTTTTTTATATTTTATACAAACCATACACCATATCTTCACAACAAAAATTGTTCCATACTCCACCTCAGTTTCTTTTCCACAGACTCCATCTTTACCCCAACTCAAAAATGTTGCTAATGTAACTCTTCTACCAGATGATGCCATTACTATCTTTACTGAAAAACTTGAAGAACTTGAAAAACTTGAATGACTGGATAACTTGAATAACTTCATAACTATAAAGCAACACTATTTATATTATCTACAAAAATTGATTAGACGTTTGTTGATTTTTAATGAGATATTTCATTTTCAATAACGAGTTATATAATTGCATATTAAATAAACCGCCGTCTCTTTAAGAAAAAACGTGAAGTTAACGCGGAAATATCACTTTAGATGTCTTTAAAGTAAGACAAACTAGTTTATCGGAAAAAAGCAAAATACATGGATAATTAGTTTATTATCGTTATTATTATAAACATTGAAAAACCAAAACAACATGATACTTCTTGTGCATCGCATGTGTATATTTCCCTATTTAATATAATAGTTATTAAATTTTGAACATAATATGGTAACTGTTTGGTATTATATCAAACAGTTATCATCGTTTAAAAAACTGTAAGACTTAGTTATATTATTTTCTACATCATGTTATACAATAATGATTAAATTGTTTAATTTTTATATTTAAATATAAACAATTATAAGTTGGAGTTTGCTATCCATATTAAAATTATGTCATGAGAGAAGTTTTAAAAGAGTATCTTAATAAAAAAACATCAAAATATTCATCTTTTTTTTTACACAAAACTTATGTTTCAGACGGGCTTTATTTCGCCCGTCTAAACTGACTTAGACGGGTGCTGAGACGGACACGGGCTATAGCCCGTCATTCCTGCCGAAACCTGTATATATATATATATATATATATATATATATATATATATATATATATATATATATATATATATATATATATATATATATATATATATATATATATATATATATATATATATATATATATATAATAAATATATAAAAATATTAAATTTTTATGAAATATCAAGTTTAATAAATTAAACTAGAGAATTTATTAATTAAATATATTAAATTAAAAAAAAAAGTTTATAAAATTTTAATACAACTTTTGTATTCTTTTTTTTAGAGTCATTGTTTAAAATACATCTTTTATAACGATTTAACAACAATTGAAAAGATAATTGTTTTGATTTTTTTTCTTTTTTTCTTGTTTCATCTTTGCTTCCAAAAAGGCTGCAAGCAACCACTATAAGAGTTAGAAATTACTGGAAGAGAAATAATGAAGTTTGTAGAGCAAGATAACAATTGACAGGCGACTTAAAAGATTGCAAATTATACGAATCAGGAAAGCAAGTTGAAGGAAGCAAATTCTAAAGAACTAATGTTTGAGGAAAAAACTAGACAAATAAGAGTTTTTGGAGCACTTAGGAACAGTTACAGAAAAAAGATGAGACTTAATTAAATGACAAGTAGCGTGAGAATGAAATTTAGTAGATGGCACAAGAGACACTAGCTCTTTAGAGCAGTGCCAATTAAAGCATTTGTAGAAAAGAGAAAGAAAAGCAACGTTACAACAATGTGATTATGGTTGGAGGTTGGTTGCAAGAGCAGGTCCAACTATGTTAACAATGTGTTTTTGCACCTTGTTTAAAAGAGAAAAGGCATTATTAGAAGATCCACAATAAAGAGATGCAACATTAGTAGACGCTAATTTTCAATAGATTTGATATACGGTTTCCAAGAAAGATCAGAACTAAGTTTTTTTTTTTTTTTTTAAATTTTAATTCACCTCCTCAAGGCTGAGAAGACCACTTCATACAAGGAGGCTACTTATTTGTGGTAACAACCCTCTCTCAACTCTATAACTCCGAAACACGAACCTTGACAAACGAGGCCGCAGCACAGAGAAACAAGTTAAGCGCTGTACTACCAGGGACGTGGTGGGAATCGAACTCGGAACTACTTGTTTATGAAGCGAGCGCTCTACCACTACATCACTACCGCAGTTAATTCTTGAAGATGAAGGGTAGATGACTCATCAAATACATCATCGTTCATAAATATAGGAAGATCAAAATTATTGCGATAACGATTGGCTGAAAAAAATTAGGTTTTATCTGAATTAAAGTTCACCAGCCACTGTGAGCCCTATGTTCTAGCAGAAGCGAGATCCTTTTCAAGCTCAAATGCCCCCTCCAAGCAATCAGAGAGTGTAGACTTCAGAGAGAGAGTTGGCTTCTTATCATGAGAAGAATAAATGGCAGTATCATTAGCAAACAATGCCACTTTAGATGTGAGAATATCTGGAAGATTGCTAATGTATATTAAAGAGTATAGAGCCAATGATTGAATCTTGAGGAACCCCTGAAGTTGCAGGATATGAAGAAGAGTGCTGTCCACCAACGGACAGTAAGTTATTAGATTCAAGATGAGAAATTAAGTGCTTGTTAATTAAAGATTCAAAAACCTTGCTTATGATAGGAAGAAGATTAATGGGACAGTAGTTAGACGAGTCAGATTGCTATTCAGAATTTTTGAAAATAGGATAACAGATACAGCTTTCCAGCATGTCAAAAAACAAGACTACGATAAGCACATGTTAAATAGTTTTGAAAGTATGGATGACAGCTCTAGAGAACACTTCTGCAAGAGTGCAACAGGTATGTTGTCTGGACCAAAAGCTGTGGAAGAGTCTAAGCAGGAAATGACTTTAGATGCAGAAGCTGAAGTGATACAAAGCTTTTTAATCAAATACGAGATTTCATGACCTGAGAATAGCAAGTTTTGACGTTAGACAAATTTCTAGTAATAGTAAACAGACGTCTGTTTTCTAGGGAATTGTCTTGCTGATAGATATGGAAGTAACGGGTTGATTGAAAATTGCAGCAACACAATGTGAGGAAAACCATGGAGAAAGCTTGACCTGTAATTATTGAGAAGGAATAAAAGATTTTTTACCAGCAAGTTGGAAAGTTGACTATTTGAGTTAGAGATTGAGAAAGGCAAAAGTTGAGGGCCTTAACACCAGCAGAGTCACTGACACTAGAGCCAAGCCATTCAGTGTGATTATCATTAGTCACAAACAACAACAATATTGATCAGAAACAACATCGAAAAGAATTCAGTCTTGAGATAAAGGAGAGCGATACAGAACAAAGAGAAAGGCGATAGAGTGAAGTGGTGTTAAACAAAAGCACATAAAAGAATAGTCTGTGGATTCAAACCTAGTTTTCCAACAAATGGGTGAATTCTTACAAATGTAAATGCCCAGGCATTTACATTTGTATTTGTATTTGTAAGATTTGTATTTGTAACATTTACATTTGTATTAGTATTTGTAAGAATTCACCAATTCTTACAAATACTAATGTAAATGCCCATGAATATTAGTGAATGATAGGTTTAGAGAATTTGGTGATGACGATGGTTTTTTGTGTTTCATAGTTTTTGGTACTTTTAGTCATTTCAAATTTTTTTAAGAAATTGACTCAAAGCATAGATAGTACTCAGTACACTATATGCAATTTTATTCGCAATTTTTATTAGTCCATATAATTAAGAAACTAATTTGCTATGAACGCTAGAACTATAAGAAATTTTGTTAATTTTTTTTCTTATGTTTATTCGTTTATTATATTTATTTGTATTTACGTCTTTTTGCTTTTAAAAAAGTTTTTGCTATTTTTTACATTTTTTCTCAATACTTATATAAGAAAATTTTTTTTTATTTATTGGTAAAAAATATTATTTGAACAATAAATTTTGTAAATGACAGAATAATTTAAATAAAAGAATAACATTTGATGCATGTATGAAATTATTTCTTTTATATTGCCTAATTTCCAATGTTAATACAAATTACTAGAGAGAAAGAACATAACAATAGAGAGAAAGAACATAAAAATAGAGAGAAAGAACATAACAATAACTCTATTAACAACAACTAAAGTTTAAAAAAATGTATTTAAAAACTTAAACAAAAATTTTAAATAGGCTTCTATAAATTTTGATAAGAAAGTTCAGTAAATTAACAATGTACTAGCCCACAAAATTTTGCAGTATTGTTTCGTTTTTTACATGAAAAACTTGTTAAAATTTTTTAACAAAAACTTTAATTTTTAACTTTTGTCATCATGAAAATTTCAATTATAAAATAATACCCAGAGCTTTTTTTTTTTCTGATTTTAACTGTTTTAAACTATTTTTAAATTTAAGATTAAAAAAAATTGGCAAAAAACTAAAGATTGTATTTATTAGACTCCATACCAATTTCCATACTAATTTGAATTTAATGTAAGAATAAAATTTTGAAATTAAAAGCTTGAATAAAATTACTTAAAGACTTAAAAAACTTTGTAATTTTATTAGCTTAAATTTTAAATACATTTAAAATTAGGAATGTCATCAGTTTGATGCGTTCATGACCTGGTCTCTACTGAAGTAGTAGATGCATTTTGAGGAAAATAAACAAAATAGCCTAATAGGTGCAAAAAAGAAAAATAAAGTTTCAAAATCTGTAATTATCAGCCTATCCATAAAAGAAAAAAAATGAGGATATATTCACATACACAAAAAAAAAAAGACATAAACAAAAGGGACATTGATTAAAAATTGCTCTTTTTAAAGGCCTGTTAATTACAGGCACTTAAAAATTATTTTTTTTATTACTGAAAGAAAGCTATAAACCAAAAATTAAAAAATCCTTGAAAAATAACTTATTACAAACTGCTGCTTCTTACAAATTTAATTTCTACTAAGTTAAAGTTCAATTTTTCACAAATAAATATTAATTAGTTTTCTCACTTTGCTGTGCATTGATAAAAACAGTAAAGTTTAGCAAAGATATTTAAAAAACAAATTTAAAAATTGTCTGTGTTTCTAACGCAATTTATAAAGTATATGACTAAAAAAAGTTACAAAAAAAATGTATATTATAAAATATTTTTATTTCCTTATATTTTTATCTACTATTTATCTTGACTTGTATCAATTTTGGTAGTGTAAAATAACAAACCCTCTAAAAATAATAAAACAAAAGCAGTAAATGTTTAGTTTTTTGACCACGATTTTCTTTTTTAGCTTATTTTATTTAGATTTTTTATTTCGTATAGCCTTCAGTTCTTTTCTTCGACTATTGCTGATTTATTCTCTAGTTTCTTATGGCTTTATTTTGCTACAAAATCTTAAAACGCTTACTATATAAAAACGTGGTCAATTTGTCTAAAAAAATTACTTTAAGCGTGGACGTACAAGGCATGCGACCGCACGTGCTTCCTGAATAGCTTGATATTTTGTTTTAAACTTTCCAACTTTTTCATAACTTTTCAAAAAAAAATTAAAATAAACTTATACATTAAAACTATAAATAAATTATCAATTAAAAAAATTGAAAAATTAACTTTAGTTTTAACTTAGTAAGTTTTGATATTAATATTTAAACATAAATTTTTATAAAAAGACCATAGTAATTTAATTTATATTTATATTTAAGTTTTTTTATTATTTTTTATTAAATATTTTTTATTAATTTATATTATATTTAAGTAAAAAAATTCAACTAAATTGGAACAAATCTAAATAGCTAAAAAAACAAATTCTTTAAACATCTCAACTTTTATTTTACCTTTATGATGTCCACCAGGACCACGGTCAGTAAATCTAATATTCTTAGGTTTCTCAAGATTTGGAGAACGAACATCACATCTTCTAGGAATAATATTCAAAGGTTGGTCTAAAATGTAACAACAGATTTATTTAAATAAAATAAAATTACATAAAATTATTTTTGAGGTTTTTAAATTCTACAAGTTATTTATAGAAACAAAATTAAAAATAGCAACAAAATTAAAAAATCATTTTTTTACACTCCAAAGAACTTAACTGTTATACAATCACAATAGCAATTTACAACCCTCAGAATTAGGAAAAATGAGGTTGACAATAAATTGCTGACCTTAAACTGTTAAAGGTCGGCATTAGGTCGGCAAAAAAAACTTGACGTTACCATAAAACATAGAAATGAGGTCGGTAATATTTGGCTTATTTTAAGTCCTCATTTAGGTCGGCATCGCCAAATGCAGACCCTAATTCCAAAGGTTGAATTTATAATAGCACTGTTAAAACATTTAACAGCTGGTACATAATAAGGTACATGCAGTCAAAAAAAAATTATTGAAAAATTCTATAGAAATCAGTATATTAAATTGAAGCATAAATATTCCATAGCACACATATCATTTATCAGGGTTCCCACTATTAAAACTAAAGCTAAAATTAATGATTTTAAGGAGATTTAAGGAGATATTTTCCTAATATTTAAGGAGATTTGGTTGCGAACGACATTTTTTTGAAAGAAAAAGTAAGGATAATTAAGGAGAAAACAATTACATTAAAAACATAATGTTATTTTTTCAATAAATTTTTACTATAAACAGAGAAATTATTATTACTTTATATATATATAAATATTAATATATATATATATATATATATATATATATATATATATATATATATATATATATATATATATATATATATATATATATATATATATATATATAAAATCTATATATTATCTTTTTTATTAACAAGTATAATCCATTAAAAAAATTTCTAGATGATTTAAAAAAAAAAAATAAGGAGAAATTAAGGAGAGCAGTCAAATTTTAACTTTTTTTAAGGTTATTTAAGGACATTTAAGGAGGTTTTTATTTTTTAAGGATATTTAAGGTTTTTAAGGAGGTGTGGGAACCCTGTTTATACTGAGTATAAATGATATGTGTGCTGTCAAATATTTCTGTGCGCAGTATTAAAAACATATACTTATACTTAAAATATAATTGAAAACAAAATAAATTTAAAAATATAATTATAAACAAAATAAAATATATAAATTATAATAAAAAATTAATAATATAATAAAATAAATACAATAAATTAATTTAAAAATATACTTATACTTAATTTTTAAAATTCAAAAAACAAAATTGAAAAAAAATTGAAAAAAAATTTTTTTTTTTTTAAATTGAAAAAAAAAAATTATTAATTGAATCCTTTATTTTATAAAGCTGAGTTGGCTGAGTTAATTTTACCAGAAAAATTTCCTTTAATACATACATTTTAGAAAATGTCACAACTTTTGTTAATGATAATTTTGTTAATTGTTTGCAGATATGTGAAAACATATCTGCAAACAATTTATATCTGTTTGATTTTGTCAAAATAGTTATTTTGACAAAATCAAACAGATTTTAAATGCTTGGAAGTATAGTTTGACACTTAAATTTTTATTACTTGGAGGACTCCAAAAAGATAAAAAATATACTTTTGTTTTAAGACTTCACATGCTGAAAAAGTTTAAATTAAATTTATAATAAATTATTCAAATTTCATTATGCAAAATCAAAACTCACATGCCTTTTAATCAAATATTTTTTATCCAAAAGTATAACCATAAAGTGAACATAAAATTAACAGCATTCCTTCATGACCATTTAAGGTGTAAATTTACAAATGCAACAATTTATGTTTGATTTATTTTTGTACCTTACCACCAAGGCTGAGGTTATAAAAAAAATAAATAATATTTCAAAATTAAAAAAAAATTAAGTTATTTAATAATAAAATAAACTATAAAATGAAAATTAGAAAATAAAAGAATTAATACCTTTTAAAAAATATGTTATTTCATTGTCAGTTAGTTGTGTCAAAGATAAAAGATGCTGTATCTTTTTACGATCATTCAATTCCTGAATTTTTAAACAATCATTTTCAGCATAAAGATGCAAAACATGTTCTCTTTCTTGAAACAAAAATATTTGCATGTCACTTAAAGCTTTTTGTAATTCTTTTATTTCATCATCTCTTTGTCGAAGTTCACACTCAAGTTTGTGCTAAATCAAATTTCTTTTATGACAAATCATGCAATTTTTCTTGTATACTACATTATAAGGTATCAAATTTATTAACAAACAATATATATATATATATATATATATATATATATATATATATATATATATATATATATATATATATATATATATATATATATACAGTTATTTTTAAAGTTGTTATTTGCAGTTATCTTTACTTGAGACTTTTTTAAAAAGATTGTTTCAGTAGGTTTACATGATAAAAAAAAACAAACAAATAAAAACAAATTTAAAAACATGTCTTTTTATAAACTTAGACCTTTTTCCTAAAACTCCCAAACATTTAAAAAATGAGTGATTCTTTATATGACTGTATCTTTTAATTATCATAACTTTTAGCAAAACCATTTTAATGAAATTTACCCCCAAAAATGCAAAACTTTTTCTAATACTTGATACAAACCTATTGTCTATTATTATTAAACCATTTTCATTCAAAAAGTATTTTGCTGTCAAAGACATACAAAAAGCATGCATATCTGTTATCACACATAAATGTTAAGTTTAAAAGTGCGACAAACTTTTTATAAGTTAAAAAAAAAGATATTATATTCTTTCAATATAAATCCAGCATTGAAATTCATCTAATAATCTCATTGAACTGAATTCATACAAAACAAAATGTTTTGTTTAGGTTTTTATACATTGTATTAAATATGTGTGCAAGTCAAGCACGGATCTTCTGCCTATTAAGTTACTTCTTGAGATCTGAGCATTGTGAAACTTACATGCAAAATAAAATCTTTTATGCAAATACTTCACAGATAAAGTTTTAAGTGAAGTATGGAATAAAAACATATCTACTTTTTTTTTGCGTAGGGTATATCAATAACCTAATTTTAACTTAATGAAAATAATAATGTTTAAACTTATCTGCTAGTGATCCAAAGTCTGTCACAAAACCAACATGAGTATTTACCATAACAACATTAAATTTTAAAAAACTTTCAGGTATTGATCATTTAAAATTTATATTGCATCTTAAAAAAAACAAAAGAAAAAAAGTACTTTGAGATAAAGATGATCAATGGTGTTGAAGAATGATGAATCCAAGAATGATGTTAAAGAGTTCGATATTTTAAAGAAGAAGAAAACTTAATAGGTTGAGTTGAAGAAGATGGAAAAGTAATTTTCCCATAGTTTAGATTTTTCTCTACATTTTAAAGTACGCCTAGTATGATCACCTTGTTAACCCAAACTTACCTTGTTAACCCAAATGTACTTCTGTTTTTTTAGTTAAAAATCTAATGCTAATGAGTTTAAAAATCATGAAAGTTTTTTAGAGATTGTTGGCATCCATTAATACAATCACATACAAAAAAATTAAAAACATTTAAGTTTCTGATAAAACATCATTATTAGATATTATTAGCATAGATAGATCAATTTTTAGCATCATTATTAGGATTTTTAGCATTATTAGCATTATTAGCGTTATTAGCTTTTAGCGCATTTAGCGTTTGGCCCATTTAGCGTTATTAGCGTTATTAGCATTAGCATTATTAGCATCATTATTAGCATAGATAGATCAATTTTTAGCATAGATAGATACAAAAAACATCCCTAAAAATTTTCCCTATTTGAATTGATATTTTTTAGCATCATAAAACCTATTAAAATAGTGTGACATGTTTGTAGCATAGATGTTATCTCTTATTGGTTATTTTTTAATCTGTATTTGTATCTTATTTTTCTAACAGCACACAATCTAGAAAATCATAAACTAGTTTCACTTCTTATCTGCCTTGTTATCTTATCTTATCTTGTTATCTTATCTTATCTTGCCTTTAAATCACTGATCAGTGATTGAAATGTTCAAACAAATTGAGAACAATTCAAGAATTCAACAAGTTCAAGAATTCTAATAGTACCAAGATACAACCACTCGAAAGGTAACTTTTCCATTTCTGACTGAGTTAAGAATAAAAAAAATCCAAAAACAAATTAATAATGGTTACTGTTAAACTTTAAAAAAGATAAACTTGAACACAAACATTTAATTAGTAACACTGTTTTCATTTCTTATATATTCTTAAATTTAGAAGAAAGAAATAGTTCTAATATGTGAAGACACATTTATATTGGCTCCTTGGTATCAATGTTTCATTGACTAACAATTTGTATAAAATAACAGTTTCCTTAAGTAGACACAACCACAGGAAATGTTAACTTTAACCTTTCTAAAAAAAGAACATCTACATTACATCAAACTGCAGTACCAAGAAAAAACAGAAGAAAAAAAAGTGAAACTGCTTCAAATTAAGAAGTAGTTAGCCAGTTACTGTATAAAGAACTAGTAATAAAGAAAATGACAATTTAATTTTGAGGTTGAGAATGCAGGTGATGAGTTTTCTAAAGATGTTACCAAAGATAATGAAGCCAAAATTTTTGTTGCCAAAGAAGAAACAAAGCATCAATTTAAATTTAAAATTATACTGGATATTCACTGGATTTCATAATTCACTGGAAATTTTAAGAAAAGTCAATGAAACTAGTATGTTAATGGATACAATATCAGTTTTGAAATAAATCTTTGTTTATTTATAAATATGAATTAATGCTTAGGAATTTAAAAGGAATTTAAAACCTTAAGTGTAAGAGGAACATAAAACATGGTCACTGATTAAAATATTTTCTTTTTAAATTTCAATAAAAAAACATGGAAGATAAAAGGATTGCAGATATTCAGGAAATTCTATGAGAAAAACTGTTAAATGCAATATAGACATGAGGTTTTGAGAATGTCATCTTCATATACAAGGCTTAAAGGTATAGGATTTAAATAGTATTATGTATAATTAATATGTATATCAATACATATATTAATAAAAATACATTACACTTTTTATTTTGCACATTTTAAACTTTTCTTTCCATGTTATAATCAGTTTAATTTGGACTGAAACAGTAGCCATAAAAACTACATTGTCATTGTCTCTGCAAGAAGCTCCTAAATCAGCATTACAAATTCCATACAAATTAATACTTTTCTGCAATTTCTTAAATGTTAAGGAACAGTACAGTATACCTTTTAAATGTTAAAAAACATGTTTCCTAAATGTAAAGAAACAGTACAGTGTACCTTTTAAATATTAAAAAAATATGTTTCCTAAATGTTAAGGAACAGTACAGTATACCTTTTATATATTGAAAAACATGTTTAAGCAATGTCTAATCTCTATTAAACAAACTTTATGATAATTTTGTGACATTGAAATAAAGGTCAGGGTAAGTATATATCATAACATAAACAAAAAATTTATCTGAATTTATTGTATTCTGAAACCTTTTTTATGTGACTTTAAATTTACTTCACAGAGTGTTCTAGGCTTATAAACACTTTACCATATCATTGTAATACATTTATAATATGAACTTTTGGTTCATAATGATTTTTGAAATATGTTTTAAAAGAACATCTAAGATTTTTTTAAACTTTATTTCTTTAACTATCCCTTTCTTTTTTTGGATGACATCACTATAAAAAGACACTATAAAAAGGGGGCAAAAAATAACAAATCTATACATTTAATGCAACTTCATTGCTTTCTGATTTATTAATAATGTAACTATTCAAATTTTAGGTAGTCTTCTAATTTTTTTTTTTTCTTCAGTTTTATGTTTAATGCAGTACTTTGTTAAGAGTTCTAGAAAGTCCCTTAAATTATCTTACTTATCACCATTAATGCAACTAACATATCCACAAGTAAAACTAATGACACAGTTCAACTCAAATCAACATGTGGCTCAAATAGATTCATATATATAATACATACAATCTCTATGCATAATAATATAATGGAGGTATATATATATATATATATATATATATATATATATATATATATATATATATATATATATATATATATATATAACTCTTATATACAACCTTCGAAATTAGGGTAAAACAACCCTAATTTTGCTAACAATTGCCCATCTCATTTCTAGTTTTATGGTAACCTCTCAAATTTTTTTTTTGCCGACCTAAAGCTGACCTAAAGCTGACCTCAGTTTGAGGTCGCCAAACTGTTTCTCAAACCAAACAGTTTGAGGTTGCCAAATTATTGCCAACTTTATTTTTCCTAATTCTGAGGGTTGTATATATATAGATCAGATCTTCTCACCTCTCCCAAAAATAAAGCAGACCTGTTTGTACTCTTGTGCTAAACATAAGGTCAGGGGGGAATAACAGAAGGGCTAGGAATTTAGTCCAGATAAAGCCTAATTACACTAAAAGTTGTTATTCTTATCAGCAACTGATATATATTTTTTCAGACTTTTTTTTTTCTAATTTTGAGATGCTGTTTTTTCATAGATAACAAGTAATAACTAATAAACAGGGGGGGGGGGTCTTGATAAACATGGAGTGGGTGAACAAATTTTCTGAAAATTAATAAGCACCCCTCCTGTGTATTAGGCACCTAAAAATAAAAATATTTTTCTTTAATTCATCTCTTGAATCTATTGACTTCCTGACTTTCTAAAGAAACAAATTAATCCAATTTTTGTTACTGTTGTTCAAGTTTTTAAAGCATGTGGTCCAGACAACATTCCCATTGAACATTCCTATTCCTAGTGTTCTCTTCAATACTCTCTAAACTATTCAATAAAAACTTAAATGAAGTTTTGCTTTTCTGCCTGCTAGATACATCTACAGTCCCAACTTAAAAAAACTGGATATTACTCTGATCCGTCTATCAATCAGTCATCATACTGTTATTAACAAAGACGCTAAATCTTTCATCAACAAACTTTCAATATCTCATCTTGAGTCTAACAACTTATTTTTTAAGAATCAATATCAATTTTATTCTGTGAAATTTATCTCATTCTAGATAAGATAAATCAAAAATAATAAAATCATCTCATTCTACTGCTGACTTGTTAACTGTTTTGAATTTTTTGTGATTGAAAAAAAGATAGAAAGATGCATTAGATAGAAACAATAAGGCAAGAATTATTTTTCTCAACATATCAAAGGCTTTCAATAAAGTATGGCATGCTAGTCTTATTTATAAGCTTACTTTACATGGTGTATCTGAGAAATTTATTCAAATTATCAAACTATTTCTTTTTAACAACAGTATTAAAATCACAATATTATCGATGTTCATATTGATGAGTGGCAACATTCTTACTGAGTCATCTACTTTATGTCTTCTCTTCACTACTGATCTCTCACAGAAACTATATATACAACCCATAGCAAAGTAAGCATCTACTAAGGTTACCACTTTTTATTATGCCATCCATTCCCTAATTCTTTTACTTATACTTAATGGAATGCTGTTGTTAAATTTGGAGTAATACTTTGAATGTTCTTCTAATCTTTTTTTTTGAACATGGTCCTAAGATGCATAGATAATTTATGTGAAACCTGTTCTAGCTGTAAAGATTGAGTCTATTTCATGTTTTTATAAAGTTTCAAATACTTCTAATTTTGCTGCTTATGCAAGCTATCACCAGGTAAATACCAGGTAAATCTCCGATCTGCATGCTTTATAGTATCAAGATCTAGATTCTCAAAACATGTGTTTTTGAGATATAAGAAAAATAGTTAGTTAGTTTTAAACAAGAATGTTATTATACTTAAAATGAATGCTAGAATTTTTAAAAAAATTCATAGAGACCTTTTGCATCAAAAAATAAAGTCCTACCTGTTCTTCATAACTTGACTTGTACTTTTCTAATTTGTCAAGAAACTCATCGTGTTCGTTATCATAATCTATAATTTTTTTCCTATAATACTCAAGCAACTCTTTTGATGGATTTAACTTTGAAAGTCGTTCAGACACACTTGGGATAGGAGACTCGGATGAAATATCGGAACAATCCATAGCAAAATGTGCAATAGGTAATAGTTACCTTGAATTTTGTTTGTTTATTGATGGATTAAATAAACGGTACCGACGTTATGGTATATATTTTTTTATATATATAATATATATATTATATATATAATTATATATTATATATATATATATATATTATATATATATATATATATATATTATATATATTATATATATATATTATATTATATATAATATATATATTATATATATATATATATATATTATATATAATATATATATATATATATTATATATATATATATATTATATATCCATTTTTTTCATATATATCCATTCCGTAATAGCAACGTCAAATCGTATATTGAGTCAGCTTAAAAATTCATTCAAATACATTAACATTACCACTTTTAATATGCTCTTCACGTCAATGGTGAGGCCACATTTGGAGTGCGGTGCTTTAGTATGGAATCCGAATAAATTAAAGATATCAAAGCAATTAAATCAGTCCAAAGAAGGGAAACTAAACTAGTCCGATAAATTAGTGGTAAAACATTCGAGGAAAGGATCCGCTGCCCTGGTCTGAAAACTCTGGAAGAAAGACGATTAAGAGGAGACTAAATACAACAATTCAAAATTAAAAATGGACTAAATAAAATAAACTTATATTCTAGTTTAACCCAAGAAAAACACAATCATGGCACAAGACAACAAAACTTTCTAACCAGAGAACAAAACAAGTCTGATATCCGGTACAACTTCTTCACAAACAGGATAATCAAACAATAGATTTAACTGCCAGTATACTGTCAAAACTCAAAAACAACAAACATTTTTAAAAACAATTATGACAAATATATAAAAAATGCATATTTACAACTACAATAAATGGTATTTATATAGCTATTTCTCACGACGATGTCATTGTAGTTTGATAAAAATAATAATATATATTATTATTGTTATTTTGTTGTTGATGCTTTTTTGTGTGTGTTTTTTAATTCTTTACTACAATATATAAGATAAAGATATAAATAAATAGAAGAAAAATTATAACCGATGTGGCCAGGGGCACGTGCCCCCTCTACTTTTTTTATTGAGGACCTTTTTTGTTTTTTTATTAAGAAAAATCTTGATACAGAGGACTTTTTTCACAAATTGATAATTGTGCCTCCCTCCCCTCTCCCACTTCAACACCTGTGTCGTCGGCCATGGGTATTGTTAAAATATAAAGAATAAGAATATAAAGTCTAATGAACGCGGACACTCCAAGAAGACCATCAAGTCTTGTCACAGAGAACCGGAGTTAGTTAACCGATGTTAGAAAATTAGAACTTTTCAAACAAAAGTTTTTAAGTTTGTTTATATTTTTTTTCTTGATATGTTTTGTACTGCTTGCATCCATCAAACTACTGAGTCTTCTTAACCGTTGAAATAAACAAACAATAATCTCTATAAATTTCTGAATAAATTTCTAAACATTACGTCTAAAATAATATTAGTTTAAAAATAAAATGCGGTTAAAAACTCCATAATTTCCAAAATAAATATATTGTCTTGCGTCCACTCAATCTTATTTCTCCGATATCCAAGTTCATATGAGGAAATAAGAAGCTAAGAGGTACAAGTAACAAGGGGTACAAGTAACAAGGGGTACAAATAACATTTTAATCAAAGTTGAGTTAAATGCAGAATTAGACAGAAGAAGAAAACGAAATTTTGGTATGATAGAAACGAGTGAGGAAACAAAATATAAGTAAACCATAATTAAATTATTGTGCTACACCGGCACTGTTAGTTCACTGATGTTTTACAGCTGTTAATAAAATCAGCCTCTGAGAACTACCACAGAGTTCGGAAAAACGGACTTCCAGCTGGCCTTAGAATCATAAAACTGAATTTTAGAACTGTAGCCATTTATATGATTAGGCAACTCATTTAATGACTAAGCAGCTCATTCTATTATTTCTTCATTAGGGAATAATAGAATGAGTTGCCTAGTCATATAATCAAAGAAAACCCATGCATTAGGTCAAGATGATCTAGCATTCAACATCCTAAACTGGAAACTTATCAGCGTTAAATTAATTTTAGTTGAAAATATTTGAAAAAGTGCCTAAAAATCATTATTATTAACCTAAAAAGCGTATTTAATTAAGATCCTATTCAAATTTGAACAAGCGTTTGTGATTTTAAGAGTTTTAAGATTTTTTTTTAAAAAAAAAAAAGAATCTTCAGTCGCTATAATTGTAATCGCTTCACACGCTATTGAAGACTGTATAGTGCAATTATTAAAAATCGCCTCAACTCCGCCGAGTAGTTATTAACTTTTATTTTTTCAACGTTTTTATATATTGGATAAACTTTAGTAATTTTCAATTGGTCTGGTAAAACTCATTGATCTAAAGATGATTTTTAAAATTTTAAATAGAATATCCTTTAAACTTTCATACTAATTTATTATTATTTTACAATTTATTCCGTCTTATTTATTTTTCTTAAGAACTTTTTTTCAATGCTCTTTCAAACTTAACAGGAGATAAATCAGCTATACGATATAAATCTTTGAGGGCTTCAAAAAGTCATATAATGAAATTTCAGTTATCGAAACTTTATTAGAAAAAGTAAACTAATTTCTGTACAGCCTTTATTAAATTTCTTCGCAACTTTGATCGGTATAGTTATGCTTTCATTTTCGTCTATAATCATTTTTGGAAGAGAGTTGAAACATGCTTTAAGTTTACCAGTTATTTCTTTTTTTGCGCAACTTTACAAGTACGCTTGAAGTCATTTTTAAATTATAAGTTTTGAATAACATCCATGCACTTTTTAAAACTTTAGGACTAATTTTTTTTTTCACAAATTTATTTATTTTCATCTAGCTGTTGTTTCAGGAAGTCTTTGCATTCTTGTATCAGAAAATCGAGTATAAGCATTTAACTTTGAGGTTTACGTTCACTTTCTTGCTGATGTCGAAATTATGACCTTTGATTTGAAGCAAACGCTTCAAGGTGGCACATTTTCAAAGTTATTTTTCTAGTACTTTAATAATAACAGAAAAACTGATTAAGGCAACTTTTTTTAAAAGTATTAAATTTTTCAGGCATAGCAACGCTCTTAGCAACCATCTTCTCATTATTTATGATTTGGTTTATGGTGAATTAAATTACCAGATTTTGACAATAATAAACTCTTTAGCTGCATGTAAAATTTAAATTTTTTAGTCAAACTTTCAAATAACAATTTGTTCAGTACAAGTATTGTAAAATGTTCAAATGCTTTGTTTATATGTGACTAAAATGCCTTTTGTAATAACAACACAGTTTTAGTTTAGAAATTTATACATAAATAATATGCTAGGAACTCATTCTGGAACTAAAAAGTGAATATTTGCTTGTAATTAGTACATACACATTAAAAATTAAAAGATGATTTAATACAAGTTAGCAACTGGTTCTTTACTGTCAAGAACATTCTAATAAAATAGAAAAAATATATTTTTGAAGATAATTCTTGAAGACAAATATTATCTTACAATAATAATATAACTAATAATTTTGGTTAACTGAAATATTTATTAAAGAGATATTTGCTCAGACTGTAGAAATAATGTTAATGTTAGAAATAATGTTAATGAAGTAACAAGGATTTAGTTTAAAACTACACCTATCATGTATTTGAAATTCTTGTCAACTTACAAGTGTCCTATTGCTAATATATATTATTATATCACAAAATATTTTGACAAAAAGTTCTTTGCTACTTATGATGAAATGGTGATGATATTTAGAGGAGATTATAGAGTTCATTGTATTTAGATGATATTAAGAGGAGATTCATTGTATTTAGATGATATTAAGAGGAGATTCATTGAGGTATAAAACCTTTTATACTGCTCTACGGCTGAAAAAGAAAAAAATAAAATTTTAAAGAATTTATGAGATGAGCTGATTTCTAGTTTAAAAATTTATTTCCAAATTCTTCCGGTTTGATACAGAGAGGGCTAAACAGAGAGTATTTCGGCTAGAATGATTTTATATTGAGCTTCCTTAAAAGAGGTTCACATTGAAAAGTTCTGTGGGCACCAAATATAATCCTGCATGCATGTTTTTGCTTACTATGAAGTTTTTTCAACTTACCATAGTTAGTACTACCCCATACAATATTGCAGTAAGAGATAAAACTATGAATAAATGAAAAGTATATTTTTTTTTAGAGAAGAGGTGTTAAGATATGCTTTAGTTTTATATAATATATAAATATTTCTTGATATTTTATTTTCTATATATTTTATATGTGGTTTCCATGACAAACTTTCATCTATTATTACTCCTAGAAAATTAACGATTGGTTCCTTTTTAATAAATGTTTTATTGATTAGGAGATTGGCTAATTTTAGAGAAATATCATCACCTTTACTAGGTTTGGAAAATAAAATAAAGTTAGTTTTTTCTACATTTAACGAAAGCCTATTGCTTGTAAACCAATCGTTTATTTTGAATAGTTCTTCATTAAATATATTAAAGAGAGCTTTTATATCTTTGTTGGAATAAAAAAGATTGGTGTTATCTGCAAACAATATAACATTTAAAATAATTGATGCTAAGTATAAATCATTTATATACAATAAAAATAATAATGGCCCTAAGATTGAACCTTGGGGCACACCACATGTAATATGTTTTTCTTTTTCTTTTTTATTATAAATAATTGTGACCTGTTCGCTAGGTAGTCTTCAAATCAAAGTAAATTTTTATTTATTATTTCATATAGTTCTAGTTTTTTTATAAGTATCTTATGGTTAACAGTGTCAAAGGCTTTCGACAGATCAATAAAAACTCCAAGAGTAAAATAGTCATTATTGAATGCATCCGATACATGATTAACTAGTTTAATTATAGCATGGTTTGTTGAATTATCTTTTTGAAATCCAAATTGTTTACTGTACAGCAAACTGGTTAACATTAAATAGTTGTAAAGTCTGTTGTACATAATTCGTTCCAATAATTTTGAGAAGCAGAGTAAAACGGAAATAGGTCTGTAGTTGTTAATATTATTTTCGTCACCAGATTTAAAAATGAAAGTGATTATGGCAATTTTAAGTTTTTTTGGCACAACACCTAGCTTTAATGAAAGATCAAAAATATGAAATAATGACGGTTCTATGATATCGAAGACTGACTTACAACATTCACACTAATTTTTTCAATGCTCGCACTTTTATTACTTTTAAGACTGTTGAAAGCATTCCTTACTTCGCTTAGATTTAAATTAGATTCTTCCATAATAAAATTACATGATTTAATGTAAGATTCAAACTTTGTGGTACTTGACGGAATTTTACTCGCCAAGTTTGGCCCTACTTCGAGAAAAAATGAATTGATTTCTTTAGCTATTTTTTTTTTATCGTAAATCATTTCCCTATCAATTAAATTTTAAATGGTTTTCGTTAAGCTTGTTTTTTTTGTTTATACTTGTTAATATTTTACGTACATTACATACATACAATTTACACATTAAATACATACAATTTATACATTACATTCATACAATTTAAGACTAAAAATACAAAGTCTCATTTTGAGCATCTTTAAGATTTTGCTCAGTCAGTTTGCTCGAAATTGTTTTAAATAAAGCTAAAAAACGTCCTTAATGTGGACATAATTATAGATTAGAAGAGCTAAAACTTTTACAAAGTGTTCAAGTCAATAAACTTCCTAAAAACCTTTTTTTTTTACTCAAAGTTATGATGTTCTTCTCTTGATAAGTAAAAGTCAACAAAAAAGTTATATGTTGGTAGTTGTAACTCTTTTTCTTCTATTATCTTAAGGAATATTCTATTGTTCTTAAGAAATATTCTATTGTTCTTAAGGAATATTCTATTGTTCAAATGTCTCTGCAATAGTTATAAATATTCCAGCACCCTTTTAAAAATAGCATTTAAGAACTTAACATTTCACAGATCCAGAAGTTAAAGCTAAAGTTAAAATTCCATAATATACCGCAATTATGTTATATTAAATTATATAGCATAAAATCTTGATAAGAATATTAAAGTTTAAATATATTAATTTTTATTGATGCATGGAAATTGTAAATGTACGAAGAATGTTTGATGATGTAAGATTACGAATTTCATTGCGAGCTCTCATTCAAAGTACTAATGATAATCGCCTACAACATTTATCAAAAATAGTAGAAATGTGCAAAAATATTGGTGCAAAAAATGGTAAAAAACGAAGAAAAATTTTAACTTTAACATAGCAGATTCAATATCTTACAAAATACAGTAGATCTAATATCTTACAAAATAAGAAATAGAATAAACTTAACTAGCTTTTTACTTGTAACTAGTCAAGAGCATCAATTTTTATACAAGGTGGTTTTTAACTGATCCTTTAAAGAAAGCCTTTGGTAATTTAAGGCACAGTGCCGGTGATGTGTACTTTACTGCTCAACAAACTGTCGAGGGCGTATTCACCATGCTTTATTACTACCAAGATTTGATGCGACTTTTTTGGACTACTCAGAGCATTATTTTTGTGATGGATGTATTTGTCAACTTACTGAAGAAGAGAGTAAGATTTTTAACGTACTGAATGACATAGAAGATTCTATGAAGAAAACAGCAAATTGGTATGTGTTTATAAAGCTGGGTACATTTTTCACAAAACAGAAATGGATAATGCTGAAAGTACTCTTACTTATTTTAAAATGTATGTTAGTTACTTGAAAGAACTAAATAGGGAAAGATTAAAAATCCCTGGTGAAATGGGGTAAAAACAAGAAGGTTTAAAACTTGGTGATACATTGTATCAACCATTTTGAAATTGATGCTATTTTTAGAGACCATTTTATTATTCAGGATCTTTTTTATTTTATAAAAGTTATTTTAAATTAAAGATATGTTGTAATTATCATTTAATTGCGAAAAATAGCCTGACTTAAATTGCTTATTTATACATCGTACATATTTTCATTGATTGGTTTGAAAAGAAAGCGCGCAATTTATAAATTTTAATCGTGCGTAATCTTTAAAATTTGAAGTAATTTAAAATATGAATTATAACACGAAACGAACAGCTAATGTATTGTTTTTTATTTGATTTTTTTCCTTCGTTTTCGGAAATCGAAATTTAAATGCAGCCGTGGTTTTGGAGATGTGGACTTCCTGGTTAAATGCTGTTCCGCGGTGCTCTGTGATAAGACCGTAAGGACTTCTGGGAGCACCTAAATAACTAAAATAAATAAAACAAAAACAAATTTTAAATTGTTGTTCTACTCTGTTTTATGTTATAATGTTACATTTTATCTTATTTTGAAAAAAATACGAGTTAAAGAAATATGCCGCTATACAAAAAAAAAAAAAAAAAAAAAAATTGTTTAATTTTATTATTTTTTTTTAGGTCTAGAGGCCATTTTTTTAATTGAAGAGAAAATTAGTCGGAAATTTTTTGTTTTGTTTTGTTTATTATTTATATTATTTGTATATTACATGAGAAATATAAAAAATTTTGGAATTTTTTTTTTTTTTTTTTAACGTTATCATTTAGTAATATTTCTTTCAAAAATGTTCTTGAAGATATCTCTGTTCTTTTGAGTTCCAGCACTCAACTGCACATTTTAGAGTTTGAAGATCCGTATCAGGAATTAAATTTTTGAGGTCGATGATTTTTATTTTTTTTTACTTTGCATTATTGTCCCCAGATTTAGTTCATGATTATTGCACAAGCCCTTGATACTATCTAAAAAAGGTTACGGGGCTGTTTTGCTTTTCAGCTGTGACTTAATAATATCATATGTCATTTTATTGTTCATCAGGCGAATAAATAAGTTTAGCTTATTTTGTTTTATAATTATTGATATATCTTCAATAAAAAATAAGGTATGAATGTAACTTTTGCTATGTTTTGAAACGTTGAGGAATGACTTAAGTGCGTTTCTTTCAACTATATCAAGCTTTTGCATTAACATTTTTTTATGTTCACACAGCTCAAAACCATACGTTAGTGTTATAACAGCTAAAGTTTTATATAACTAGACAATGGAGTTTGGGTGGGCAAAACGGATTCCTGATTGAATTGAGGTTTGAATTACCGCACACCCGTTTGAACACCCGTTTAGTTTCGATTGATTGATGTACCTACAACACTTTCGTTTTGTAAGGTTTCTAGTAGGTTTTGAGTATAAATGTTAAAAAAATGAGGCGAGAAAATAGATCCCTGTCTTACTTCTTGCGTTATGTAGAAAGGATATGATTTACAATCTAGATAAGAAACAGAAGCACTGCTTTCATAGTATAATGGCGATATGGTATTAAAAATATACAGAAGGAGTTTTTTATCATTGAACTGTCTCTCAAACAGAATGTCAAATTTTTTGTTACTTTAGTCAGAATCCGGTTGCGCCAATAGTCAGAATCCGGTCGCAAGACCTTTTGCAAGCCTTGGAATATCTATACATTTACGTCATCATTTTTAGCAAGGCAGGAAGTCAGACTTTTATATATAATATTAAAGGGTAGGTACATTCGGCGGATCACGTTGTTTTTTGGTTGAACAATCATTAAAAGTTAAAAAGTTTGATTTAAGCAGTCAAAATGTTAAGTTGACCACATCATAAAGTTCGGCGGATCACGTTGTTTCTTGGTACAATTGGTAAAACTTAAAGAGTTTGATATAAGCAATCAAAATATTAGGCGGATCACTATATAAAGTTTGTCTGATCACTTGATATAAATTGGCGGATCACGTTGTTTTTTGTAAAAATTATACTTTTTGTCATTTATTAAAATTATAATTTGCATATACATTTTAAATATTATTTCTTTAATGAACTTAAACTATATCTTAATCTATAAAAAATACTTGTCATATAAAAAAATATATATATATATATTTTTTAAATTTTATTAAATGAAGTATGACTTGCATTATAAAATGTTAGCAACGTTATTGCTAACATTTTACAAAATTATCAAAAAAACAAATTATCCGCCCCGCCGTTTGTACCGTTAAAATGATCCGCCCCGCTGATCCGCCCCGCCCCGCCGATTGTACCTACCCATTAAACCCAAACTTGTCGGACCAATGTTTTGTTATTTGCACTCATTTCCATTTATCTTAAGTGAAAAATGGAAGAATTGTTATTTAAACGTGGCATTATTTCATTGATATTTTCTGTGCCTACAGCTTTAATTTTTATTGCAGTAAACAAAAATGAACCAAATCCCTACATGGACGAAATTTTTCACATACCTCAAGCTGGTAATTTTTGTCATGGTAATTTTACACACTGGGACAATAAAATTACAACCTTACCTGGAATATACATATTAAGCCAAACGATTTTGTCAATAATAGCTTTTTTATCTAATAAATCTCTGGTAGAACTTTGCAATGTTCAATGGTTAAGATTCACCAACGTTATATTTGCATTGTGTTGCTTTTTTGTTTTAAAAGAAATAATTTTAGTACTAAATATATCAAATACGAGTGCTCCACCTAGAGCAGACAAAAATAAAATTGCTTCTGATGACAAGAAATCTAATTCTAATAATGCTATGCAGGTATTATGTTATTTCATTTTAGTTTTTAATTAGATTCTTAGAATGCATTAAATATTTTTAAAATGTATCAAAGTTTGTCATTCTATTTTTTTTTGAAATTATTCACTTTATTAATACGCTTCCAATAATAAGTTTATTTTTAATTTTTTAAATAAAAATTAGTAATTTTATAGTTTATTTACTTTAACTTTGGTACAGTGGGGTGTAAACACATTTTCATTTATTAAACTTGTTATTAAATACTAATACATTAGTGATAACTAGATTATTAAATAGCATAGTTTGATTATTATGTTAACTAAGTTATTAAATAAAAAAAAATTAGTGTTATAAATTAAAAAACTTACTGCTCAAACCAGCTGTTAGCTCTTGTTCCACCTACCAAAATTTCATCACATTTATATCAAACTAAATTTTCAGTTAAGTTAATAAATCTTTTACATTCTAAGGTTTTTTTTGCATTCCTGTTGTTTTATTGTACTTATATACTCTTAAAACTTTTATTTGTACATTTTTATATTGCACCATGTTTTTTAGTTACCTTTCTTCTTTGTTTTTTTCAAATTCATATAGTTTCTACTCATTTTCTTTGTCTTTGTTTTTCTTTATTTTTTTAGTTACTCCAAACCAAAATAATATCAAACTGCAGCTTTTTTTGAATGAGTTTTTATAATATTTGCTAGTTTACTCTATAATTATACTACAATACAGTACAATTATAGAGCAAACCATAATATTATTTTACCATAATCAGTCATAGTTTTAATGGCTCAAACTAGTCATGGTTTATCAATTTTGTGCTGATCAAGATTCAAATGAAAACATAGACCTGAAAAAATTTTTTTTTTTTCAAAAGCCACCTTTTTTTTTTGCAGTTTGAAATTAATTGAATTCTTAAAATATTTATAAAAAGAGAAATTTGTCAAATTTTATATATAAAAAACCTAATTAAAAAGTTAACTGTTTTGGTGTCACACCCAATATAAATTTTTCAAGCAAGTTTTTTGAGATTACCAGTTGATTTTTCTGTAATATTAAGAACTTCTTTTTTTTCTTTCATAGCAATTGATTGTAAAAGTCAAATTTTTGTAGGTATTTAGATTTGTTTTTCCTATAGCTTTGTCTCAAATGACTGAAGAAAAAACAACATCTTGTCAGTAATTGCTTTGTCGATAATAAACTGCTTTGTTAATAATAAATTGTTTTGTTAATAAAAAAATGCTTTGTCAAGAATAAATTGCTTTTTGATAAAAATTTTTTTCAGTATTAGATATTGCCTGCACTAAATAGAGCTTTACTGTGAGAAATAGTTTATGAAATAGTAAAAAACATTGTAACAAACAGATTATTTTTTGAAAAAATTCCCTTTTAACCAGTAGTGTATGCAGGATTTTTTGTTTCAAATATGACACTTTAGCATTGTGCTAACAAAAACTGTGTTTTTGCATGTCAAATGAGAATTGGTCAATTTGATTTAAAATAACATCAAGATAATTACTGATTTAAAAAGAAGAGGAACAATAAGGAAAAAAAAAATTCTCAGTATTTAATCCTGATTTTGCAACAACCAGGTGAATTTATCGTGCTCGCCACTTTCTTACTCAGGATTCTATTTATTATCTCTATAAATCTCAAATCTGTCCTTGGATGGAATACTGTTGCCATATCTGGGACAGATCTTCTAACAATGCCCTTTCTCTTTTAGACAAGTTGCAAAAATGCATTGTAAAAATAGTTGGACCTGCTCTTGCAGCCAACACCTGACCATTATTAAATTGTTGTAATTTTGCTTTTCTTTTCTATAAGTACTATAATGAGCACTGCTCTAAAGAGCAAGTGTCTCTTGTGCCATCTACTAATTCATTCTCATGTTATTTTTTTATTTTTTATTTTTATTTGCATTCACTCCCAACAAGGCTGCAAGCAACCACTATTAAGTTGGGAGTTACTAGGAAAAAAAGAAGAATAGAGTTATAGAGCAAGGAAACGGTTGACAGAAGACTTGAAAAGTTGAAGGTTGTATGAGTCAGGAAAACATGAAGATGGGAGAGAGTTCCAAAGGATTGAAGTGCGGGGAAAAAAACTAGATGAATAAAAGTTTTTAGAGCATGCAGGGACAGATACAGTAAACGAATGAGACTTAGCTGAATGACGAGTAAAACGAGAATGCATTTTAGTTGATGGAACTAGAGATGATAACTCCTTTGAGCAGTGACCATGATAGTATCTGTAGAAAAGAGAAAGAGATGCAACTTTACGACAATGGAAAGAGGTTCAAGCTTAGCAGATAGTCCAGATCCAACAACATTTACAATGCGTTTTTGGACCTTGTCAAGAAGAGAAAGTGAATTGTTAGAAGAACCAGCCCAAATATGACAACAGTATTCCATACAGGGACGAATAAGAGATTTGTAGAGGTAGAGAGTGGAATCAGAAGTAAGGATGGGCGAGCACGGTAAAGAGAAGCAACCTTAGCAGAAGCTAATTTAGCAATTGATTGTATATATGGTTTCCATGAAAGGTCAGTAGTAAGCAATAATCCAAGAAGACGTAACGAGGAGGACTCAGTAAGAGGATTGCCATTCATTAATATAGGAATGTTGACCATATTACCGTAGTTGTTTGCAGTAAGCAATTGGGTTTTTTTAGAGTTGAAATTCACAAGCCACTGTGAACCCCAATCTATTACTGAAGTGAGATCAGATTCAAGATCAGCTGCTTGTTCTAGGCGATCGAAAAGAGAAGACTTTTTGTCAAGACAGGAGTATAAAGTTGAGTCATCAGCAGAAAGAGCTACTTTAGATGAAAGGTTGTCAGGAAGATCGTTTATGTAGATAAGAAACAAAACAGGGCCCAGGATGGAACCTTGGGGAACCCCAGAAATTACTGGAAATAAAGAAGAGTGTTGGCCTTCAAGGATGACTTAAATAAACCGGTTAAAAAGAAATGATTTGATAATCTCAAGAACTTTCCCAGAAACACCATATGAAGCAAGCTTATAGAGAAGACTTGCTAACTGCTGTAACTGAGAGATTTTATCTTTCAGTTACAGCAGTTAGCAAGTCGGCCGTAGAGCAAGAGGATCGAAAACCGTATTGATTGTCTGACAGCAGTTTATTTGACTCAAGATGAGATGTGAGGAATTTGTTGATCAAAGACTCAAAGACCTTGCTAATAACAGAAAGAAGACTGATCGGACGATAATTGGAGGGGTCAGAATTTTCTCCAGAGTTTTTGAATATTGGAACCACAGATGCCATTTTCCAACAAGCAGGAAAACAAGACTCAGTCAAACACTTGTTAAATAGTTTAGAGAGAATTGAAGAAAGTTCTGGAGAACAATTCTGCAAGACTGTGACAGGAATGTTGTCTGGACCACAAGCTGTAGACGAGTTTAATTGAGATATGACTTTAGCAACAGAAGCCGGAGTGATTTGAATGTCTAACAATGGGTCAACCTGTTTGACTGGAATGGAAGGAAGAGAATGTCCATAAGATTCAAGAGTGGAATTAGAAGAAAAGTTCTTTGCAAACAGTTCTGCCTTATCCCTGGGAGAGGTAACAAGATCAGTCCCATGAATGAGAGATGGAATGTTAGATCTACCCTTGTTAACAATGCTGTTGAAGATTTTCCAAAAGTCTTTAGAGCCTAACTTTTGCGATAAAATGCGAGATTTAGTGAACTGAGAATAATGGATTTTAGCATCAGAAAGCACCTTTTTACATCGATTTCTTGCAATAATAAATAGCCGTTTGTTCTCAAGAGAGTTGTTCTTTTGAAAAAGATGAAAAAAATGATTACGATTGGATATAGCAGCCGCACAAGATGGAGAAAACCATGGAGTAGAATGAGGCTTGACTTGAAACCAACGAGAAGGAATAAAAGCTTCCATTCCAGCCTGAATCCAGGAGGTTATGTAGGAGGCGCATTTGTCAGCTGAGAGAGAAAAACATCAGCCCAAGGACCATCACAAAGAAAATCACGAAAGGAATCCCAGTCAGCTTTAGGGTAGTAGTAGGTGGTGCGATGATAAGGTGAGCCCAAAAAAGAAGTACGAGAAGAAAGATTTATAGAGATCATTGCGTGGTCAGAACCACCTAAGGGAGAAAAGGGAGAAACTGAACATAAGCTAGGGTCAGAGACAAGACATAAGTCAAGGAGTGAAGGTAAATGATTAGGGTTGTCAGGAAAACGAGTCACAAAGTTAACTATCTGAGTAAGAGATTGAGAAACGCAGAAGTTAAAGGCTTTAGTGCCAGCAGGATCAGTGGTGTTAGAGCCAAGCCATTCAGTGTGATGGGCATTAAAATCACTAACAACAACAATATTGGCAGAGGGGTAAAGAGAGAGGGCATGGTCAATTTGATCAGAGATAACATCTAAAAGAGTGCAATCATGGGAAGAAGGAGAATGATAAAGAACAAAGAGAAAGGTGATAGAGTGAAGAGGTGCTAGGCGAAAGCACATAAAAGAATGGTCAAAGGATTCGAACCTGATTTCATGACAAATAGGGGAATTAATGCGTATGTATACCCCTAAACCTAGCATGTGACTACTGGAGTCTTTACGAATCAAAGGATAGTACCCATCAACACTGACATCGGAAGAAGGAATTGCAGAACTTAAATTTGTTTCACTGAGTGCAAGCAAGTCTGCTGAATTTTGCAGGAGGTAAGACTCAACTGATGGAAAGTTGCTTCGTAGACCGCAAATATTTGTAAAAGATATATTAAAATATTTAGGTGGTGGGGATGGTTTTTTAGGTTTTAAATTTTTGGTTACTTTGGTCATGATTTGGGTTTAATGAGAACTAGACTCATCATAGATAGAGTACAGCCTCCTAATCAATGAGCTATGCAGTTGTCTCAGTCCTGTTAATTAACCCTAAGCCGTGACATAGGGCTCCTTATGTGGCCTTGACAATGCACACCAAAAGCATTAACAGGGACACCATTCATGCGCAACATGGTACTGTTAATACTCTGATATTTTGCAGCTG